CAACTAGTTTCCGAGATAATCTTGGCAAAGACAAACAAACAGACAGACAGACCAATGGCTGAAAATGTCTTTTCTCCGACTCAAGAGGCTCTGAAACGTATAGATCTGTCGAAAACAGCACATCGGAAATTTGACACGATCACAATACTTTCCTTACCTAGTGTAGATACACATGGAATGAAATATAAATAAATAAAACTTCAAAATTATCATTTGTAGTTTTTACATCCTGATTATTAGCATATCGTGACTTCGAACAGCACGGACTATTTATCCATACACGTGGGGCTTAGGGACTGAAGCCTCCCCCCCTCCCTCCCGAAAAAAAAATAAATGGTAAAATATAACCATGTTTTATGGAAAAAATATAAAAAAATTATCTCTTAAAATATTGTTGTTCGTGTAATTCCATTTCAAAGAACTTTAGGAATCACTTAAACACCATTTCATATAGGTAGTTAGTTTCTTTTTTTCCAAAGTAATTATCGTTATTTTTATGAAAAAACAAAGCTTTCTGGCTAAAGCTCCCCCCCTCCCAAATTAGCGACAGCGATATTAGCAAAAAGTCAAACTTTTTTATTCCTCTTGTTGCCGACAGCAGATGGAAAACTTTAAAACATAGGAAACAACCATTTTAATATTTCTTTTTCCATGGCTTGAGAAATGTCAATACACACCTTAATAATTAAATAGTAGAGCCAGGATTTATACGCAGGCGCTATCAAAATTTTGGATTGAACATACTTGGCAACGTAAAAAATATAATAAATACTACTATAATAAAATACTACCCAAGAATTCTCTCGAAGTAATAATTAATTAGATTTTTGAAATTCTCTTATTTGAACAAAACTTTGACAGTGAATTCAGAAATCCAGTAAAAAAATCACTAAATCAATAAAATTCACACCCCTCCACCTCAAAAATATATTTAAAAACATAAATTTTTAAAAGAACTAACTTATATATATATATATATATATATATATATATATATATATAAACTAGTAACTTAAATGTGATAAAATAAACGTTTAGATTCATGAAGGATTTCAAACTTGGCGCTCTTCCTAAGGCACAACAATCAGGCTTTGAAAGGGCGCCAATTTTGAAATCCCTACAGGAACACTTATTTTATCAAATATAAGTTACAAGTGTCAATAATTGGTAATATGTCAATAATAGGTGCCTTTACCCAATGTAAATTAATTGATTAACAAAACAAATATCGAAAGAATATGAGTGGTTTCATATCAAAAGACATCTGTAATTTTTAAAAATTGAGGAACCCCAATTTTCTTGTCATAGCTTCGATTTAAACGAATTCTAATAATTGTTTTTCATTATTCAAATTGAACATTCTTAAATAAAATCATCAGAAACAGTGCTTCAAGCCTATAAAACCAAAATTGACTTTTTTCCTCCACTTTCTGAAAATAAAAATGTCAGTCTTTCATGAGATAGTCAGTGGTACAGATATCTTTTTATCAAATTATTAACATCCGCATGAAACTTCGTGAAAAGCTTTATCTCATCGTAAACTATGACTATTTTATTTACGAAAACTCTTGTAATTGGGGCGTTTTCAATCTTGATATCGGCAAACATTGTATTTTTAATTAGGGCTAAGACAAGTATATACCCATTTACACTAGCAGATTAAGAATTTAATTTTTTTTGGGGGGGCTTCAGCCCGAAAGATTTTTTTTCCATATACATATAACAATAATTAATTTGAAAAAAAAGAAATTAATTAATTACCTATATGAAATGGTGTTTAAGTGGTTCTTGAAGTCCCATCAAATATAATTACATGGACATGAATACTTTAAGAGACAGTTTTTAATGTTTTCTTCTGTAAAACATGGTTGTTTTACCATTTTTTTGGGGAGGGGGAGAGAAAAAAAAGGTGGCCTACAAAAATATTGGGTTCTTTTGGCCTATACTACCTCTTTATTTTTACATTTTGGGATTTTAAGTCACGCTAAACGGTTCAATATTTTTTAAGGTGGTCTTTTTTCTCGAGTTTGTGCTCAAATTATTTTTATGATCACAGGCGGATCTACGGTGGGAGAGGGGGAGAGCTTTCGAGCTAAAGCCCTTCCCAAAATGGTAAAATATAAGCAAGTTTTATAGAAAAAAATATTAAAAACTATCTCTGAAAGTATTTTTGTTCGTTTAATTATACTTAATAGGACTTCAAGAACCAGTTAAACACCATTTCATATAGGTAGTTAATATTTTTTTTTCAAATTAATTATCGTTATATGTATATGAAAAAAAAAATCTTTTGGGCTGAACCCCCTCCCCTCAAAATTAAATCCCGAATCCTCTAGTCCTTATGATTCAAATAGCAATCAAATTAGGTATTTACGAGTTTTAAGTACCTAATTAGATATACGCTATCTAGATTGAAAACGGCCCAATTTCGAGAATTTTCTTAAATAAAATAGTTATAGATTATCATGAGATGAAACCATTCACGAAGTTTCAGACGGATGTTAATAATTTGATAAAAAGGGATCTGTACCATGGATTATCAGTTTAATTCATTATTTCAAGTCATTATTAAAATTTTAAAAATTGACCTTTCATTAAAATATAGATCAAATATAATACGGATTAATTCATACCAGGCAGGGTTACAATTGGAATAGCAAAAGATATAGTTGTAATGCAACAATAATGTAAAATTATAGCTGAACATTATTAAGCATACTTACAAAACCTCAAAATGTAGTTGGTTGAAAATATCTCAACTTGATTTCTACTGCTCTCATCGAAGATTTCAATAAGTTTAAACATTTTGTTAACAACACGAACCATCTTGGAAAATACTGTGTGAAAATAGGTAACTAGTTTTGGCGGATAGCATTTAAGAATAAAAAAAACGGGTAATAATTTTATACAATAGCATGATTATTAAAAATAAAAATAATAGTAAACAAATAAAAATAAATAAATAAAACTTTCGTTATATTCAAATATAAGATAATTAATGAAAAAATTGTAATCGATATTAGTATTCGGTGTTCATATCGATTTTTTTCATATATTCCGCTCTTTTTAGTCTAGAACCCAAAGCTTTGACCATTGAAAAAAATTGCATCATTAATATAAATGGTAATAATCATATTTTAATGTAATTTTGATTACTTTTATTACCTACCAATTATTATGTTTAGTATAAACTCATTTAAAACTGAAGTAAGCCTTTTTCCTTAATATTTCAGTAGTAAATTCCAAACATTTAGTTTAACTTTAGTACTATTTTACATTAAAGAATAATTTTAATAATTACTTTGTCGACCTATATCTTTATTTCTAGTAATGGTTAACTTAATCTTTATTATATATTAACCCATATAAGTGAAAAAATATGTGTATAAGTAAATATACATATATTTATTCATTATTGGTTAGTAGAAGTGGTAATTCATATCTAATTAATGAACTACTACAAAAGTTAGTTAATAATTTAGATCAGGACTACAGGGGTTACGCATGGTTCACAATCACTTCGGTCAAACTTTTTCATCGAGTGCTGAATGCATCCAGGCTTATCCTAAAGACTTTTCAGTATTTTGTGAAAAAGTGAGAACGAAGTGATTGTGAACCACGCTTAATAACTTAGATGAAGACCTCACAGATTATGCGCATGGTTCACAATCACTTCGGTCACACTTTTTTCATGGAGTGCTGAATGCATCCAGGCTTATCCTAAAGACTTTTAAGGGTTTTATGAAAAAGTGTGACCGAAGTGATTGTGAACCGTGCTAAATAATTAATATGAAGCCCTCAAGGATTATGCGTGGTTCACAATCACATTGTTCACACTTTTTCATGGTGTGCTGAATACATCCAGGCTTATCCTAAAGACTCTTTTTGGAATTTTGTGAACAAGTGTGATCTAAGTGATTGTGAACCACGCGTAACCAGTGCATTCCTGATCTAAATAATTACCAAAAGAACCTGGGATTAAAATGAAATGTTAACTTATATTTTTAATTGTTTTCCTATTGTTGTACCTAGATTTTTTCTCATGGAAATATTAAAGTAAAGGAAGAGAAGCATTTACTTATTAATGCATAAGTGCGTTTGTCTGACTTTACTTCTTGTACAGGAGCCTGATGAAGGCCTGAACTTCGGCGAATGTAAAAATAAATAAAATTATGTATTAACAACAACTATTCAAGTAATGGTTTTATATACCTTTTATTTTTAAATCTTTTACTAAAAATATCTGTTTAAGCATATAAAGTAAGGCTGTATTACTTCATGATATCTTTTTTTTAGTTTTTACATTGGGCACGTTTCGGCTATGATACCATTTTCAAGCCATCTAAAAGACCCAATTCACAATTAGTTTCATACAAAACTACATTTAACATGATATGGTAGTGATGTTAGTCACCTCTTAAAATTAAATGTAGTTTTATATGAAACTAATTGTGGATTGGTTCCTACAGATGGCTTGAAAATGGCATCATACCCGAAACGTAGCCAATGTAAAAACTAAAAAAAGAAAATAAATATGGTGAAATAATACAGCCTTACTGTATATTACTGAACATAATTTCACATAAAGCAAAAAACATGAATGAATTCTATTTAAGCTATTCTTTAAAAAAAAAAAAAAAAAAAAAAAGGTAATTGTACAGTACATTCTTAATAGGAGAATCAGATAATTCATTAAAGATAAATTAATCTCAAATCTAAGGCCAATCAATGCTTATTTCTCATTTAATATAATTTTTTTTTAAGTAGCTAAATAAAGTTAAACTTATTATACAAGTAAAACAGAACTTTATACAAAAAAATGTCTTTGTAATTTTTATTTTAAAATTTTTATAAAAGCATAAAGCACTGCAAAAATAGAAACAATCTTATATTTCTTTTAATGCTGCATCGATTTATTCCGAAACTAATCATAATTTGATATAGTCGACTATCCTTAACTTCTAATTTAAAAGGTTTATTCAAGAGGTAAAATAATAAAATTATCACAGAAAGTGTTTGTATTTCAATAAATAAATTCTTTACACTTAAATTTTGATAAGAAAAAAACTGTTTCTTCGATGAATATAAAATTACAAAATTAATCTATGTGTTGAGATCTATACTATCAGTTGAAATCAGCCATAATAATCGTTTACAAATAAAAATTATAAATAATATATTTCATTTGACAACTCATCACAATATTATTTATATATAAATGTAACCAATTTAAAACTATAAACAACTAATATAAATCCCATGATTTTTTCTTTTTTTTTTTTAAATTATACAAATTATATTTTCCAAATATAATCTAACATTATATTAATAAATTACAATGGAATAGTATCTAAAGAATATTCAGTTAAGTATGATATAATATTCATTAATTTTATTTTATAATCTTTTTTTTATAAGTACATGGTCAATTATGGACAGCGAAAATCTTTCTTCAATGGAAGATGTATTAAACCTAATACTATCATGGATAGATATAGAGATCAAGGTTACACTGTAAATGTGTAACAAACAGACGACTAAGAACCATCATTACTGTAATAAGTTAATTTAATGTTTAAAATAACTGGTTTTAACCCACGAGTTGTCAGTTTTTGTTCCATATAACTTTAATATCTTATTAAAATTATACGGAAGAATTTTACTGAACTAAGGAGCATAGTATGATTAATCCGAAAACTTTGATATTCAAGGGATATAAGCACGTAAAAATGGAAGTTTCCACAAACTAAAAATTAAAATAAATATGAAATCATTGATGGTTTTTATCATCCGTTATTTTGGCATTTAGAAATAATTGCACAGAAGTGCCAGAACTTTTTTGAAGCCATAGTCCCAGCTATCACAGCTTCTAATGTCAGTATTTATTAATAAAAACTATATTTACACTTCTTACAGAAATAGTCTATTTATTATCAAACTTTTTTTTTTATAATAATTTTTTCATTTTAACATTAAATGATATATTTTATAGCAAGTTTATAACAAATATATTTACAAGAAACTAGAGTAATTTACATAAAAATGAATGCCTCTAAGGCGATCATCTAAACTTCATAAAGTATTAACAATTTTTACATGTAAATACAATCGGTTTTATTTTATTTTTATTTATCAGGCATGTCAAAATTTGATTCAAGTATGAATAATAAAAACATTTCTTGTGATTTCAACATTATATAATTTTTTATATCAGCTAAAACTGTTTGACATAAATAAACTGAAATTCCAAGCCCCATCTTATGCTAATTGGGCTGAGAATTGGTTAAATAAATATTGCGGGCGAATAGGATTTGTACACGCGATTGAAAGCGTTCAGTTTATACCCGAATTTAATTTCGCTATTCACAGCCAAATATTAAATGTTTTTTGATAAAAATAATTTTTATTTTCAAACATGATTGTTTGATTTACAGGACTGAATATTCAATTAAGAACCTCGTGGTATTTGTTGAGCTATATTTGAAATTACAGTGACATTGTTTAAACACTAGAAAAAGCAATTCTTATATGGCTGAAAGGTCTAAAATAGATCCTTTGAAATTTAAAGCTACTGACTATACTTTTAGAATTTAATTTATTTTTAAACTAATATATATTTATATATCTTTTGTATAACAAAACTGTTTAGTATGCTATTCCTTGATATTAAAGGACTGAAAATGTTTAAACAAACAAATTTTGATTTCTTGTATAAGACATCAATTTTTGCATTTATTTAAAAATTTCTGTTTTGTATTTTCTCATGACTGAATATTACAAAGTTATATAGAAGATGTATATCTTTAGAAAAAATGTATACTATAAAAATATTTTTTAAAAGCTACTACTATTAAATGAAATGTCTTTATATTATTTTTTTTTTTTGTTAAATTACCCCAGCAGGTATATGTATATATATATTTTTTTTACAGACTGAATGAAAGTAACACAACTCAAAAAGTAGGTTTTCAATATTAGAATACACCTAGGGATGTGTGGGTCCTAAGTTCCAATCAGGGGTGCTCACAAGGGGGTTTCATGAAAATCATCAAAATTTTTGTGGGAGGGGGGAGGAAGGAAAGGTATATCTTGCCAGGATTTTAAATTTTTGAAGGGAGCACCTTTCGATGGGGTTATGCATTTTTGCATTGAAAAGGGGGCAAGAGAAAAACATTGCATAGAACACTGAAAGTGTAATTGACTTATGATTTTTAACATTATACTTTGGCTTGCACTGTTTTTAAGAAGAGGAGAGAAATAAAATACCTTAGCAGGATGGTAGGGGGGGGGAGGGGAGGGAAGGATGGGCATCTCGGTTCCCATCCTAAGTTTTCTATATAAAACCTTCAGGATTTTTTCTGCTTCATAACAGGTTATTTTTTATCTTTTGTTTCAATCAAATAATCGAGGTTTACTAGCTAGGTAAAGCCTGACTTAGAAAACATCTAAGGATTACAATTTTTAAATGTGTACATTTCATTCCAAATGATATTAACATTTGTTATGATTAAATAAAAAAAATCACAATTCTTTAGTTAAGTACAAAATACCAATTCATTCTCAAGTGTGATTTCAAGTGATTCCGTAAGTGCAGAGATAATACAATAAAAACATGTATGATTAACATAGTAGATATCATGATATGAACACTTTTTAATATTTTAAAAATAAATATAAAATATAGTGCTCCTCTGTGATTAATAATGAAATATATTTTTAGATATTATCATTAATAAAAATTATGCTTTGTCACAATATTTTGTGTTAGTTAAAAAAAAAAATGAAAAATTGTAATTGAGCTGATATACTACATAATTTAGATACCTTTATATAAAAACAACATAAATACAATTCAAATTGTGTCTAATTCTAAATTAATTAAAATATCTGATCGAATTCACTAGAATAGTATAGTGACTATTAATATAAATAATTGTATTTTGATTTATAAGTATACAGTCAACTATCAATAACTCAAAATTCAGAGAAATGATAAATCATGAAGTTAATAGTTTTTGGACATTTGAAAATTTGTACGAAATATTTTTATACAAGGTTCAGGACATTTATGAGGATGACTTAGGGATGCAGATGTAAAATTTAAATGTATTTTTATATGAGCCTTTCAGTTGACAGAATGAATAACACCAATTTCAACATTTTTGAGTAGTCACTTTAGTGATATTTCTAGTTGGAAAATTTATAATATTTGTACAGATAGTGAGTAAGTTGATTGCAGCGTTAAAATATAGAACTGTGTAAATATAGAAATGTATAAATTTTCCCACTAGAATTATCACTTAAAATTAATAACCAAAAATGTTGAAATGTTGATTAGATTTATAGAAAGGAAACATCATTTACCAATGATGATTTTGAATATTGTCTACATTTTGCAATAGAAAAACATAATATTTATAATAAGTACCATTATGCTATGATTACACAATAATCAATAATTTTTATGACAGGTTATGAAGCAAGTAACATACTGAGACCCATTTACCAACATTAAATGAGGAACAACCCAGGTGTGGATGCATTGAACTTCATCCAGCACCTCTGTATTCAGAGAAATTTTAACACAGTACAAGATGCAAGTAATAGAGGTAAATAGTTTTTTTAATTTATATTGAATTTATTTCAGTTTTTCGTCTTATTTTATTCCAAAGTAGAGACACCTTTTGTCAAATTATTAACACTTGTCTAAAACTTCGTGAATAGCTTCATTTTATCATAACCTAAAATTTTTTTTATTTACAAATATCCTCAGAAATGAGACAGAGATTGGTGAACTTAGGCAATTTAATGAGATACTAAAACTCATGAACATCCATTTGCTTTCCATTTAAATTGTAAGATTATCTGATCTCAAAACTGAGAAAAAAAGGTGGCCTATAAAAATATTGGGCCATTTGGCTAAATCTCCCCCCCCTAATATGTCAAATGGGTATTCATGAGTTTTGAGTACTTCATTAAATTAAAAAAGTTTGCAGCTATCGGGATTAAAAATGCCCTATTTCCGAGGTTTTTTGTTAATAAAAAATTTTTAGGTTAAGGTAAAATGTTATTTGAGAAAAAAAGGGTCCTTACAGCTGACTATTTATTTATTTTTTTGTATGAATTTTTCTTAAGATAAGCATTAAAAATTTGTGTTATTGAAAGTTGACTTACATATAATTTAATTTTATTAAATACCAAAATTTTTTATTCATAATTATTTGTTTTAAAGGTAAAGTAAAATTAAATAAGTCTTTTATTTTAATGACAATCGACATAACAGAGTTAATAAATATTTATTTTCCTTATGTATGAGGGGAGAAAAGAATGACTTATTTACAAATCGATTTGCTTAAATACAATTAATTTTTTTATAATATTTATAAATTTTTATAAAAAATCAGCTAGACACAAGGAACTGTCCATGCTCTCCCTACTGGTAAAAGTTAGGATATCACAGCCGACGATTTTTTAATCGACAGCGAAACTAGATTACTTAGAGAAGCTATTTGTATTAGGAGGTTTCATCTATTTCCAAGGGCCAGTACCGATAATTTTATCTTTTATTTATAAAAAATATTGTCATTTTTTTGGATTAATATTTAATATAATTTTGGAGGAAATTCAATATACATTACAAGAGAACCTCTCTTTGTCAGGGACACCAATCATAGCAAAATTTTAGTTAGATAAGATTTATTAAGTGCAATTTTGAATTTAACTGCATTTATAATGTTAAAAATAATGAATTCTATTAGGAGAATTTTTAAGATAAAAATTTATAAAAATCCTTATCATGTAAATAGTTTATGACAGGCTTTCATTGAAAGTAAAAAAGGAAGTTATTGGTGAATATGGAAAAATTGAGTGAACAAGTATAATTGATTTAGCGAATAATTTCGGAAAAAAAAAATATATTACTCCTGTTCTTATTTTCATCATTCAAGACGTTTAATTAAATTATTCATATCTAGTTAGAATTGTGCTGAATAAAATATTTAGTATATAACAATCTTGAATTTCATTTTGTCATCGGACTATATTAATCAAAACAAAATTAGTTCTTCCTGAATCAGTCTATTCTACTCGAGATGTGTAAATATGAAACCGGAATTTCTCCAAGGATGGCTCTAGTTGTTAAAACAGTTACTCTTAGGTCCCTTTCACACCGATGATGTAAGACGCAAGGTGCATACACTATGTAATTGAACGCGAGGTTTCACACCGAAGACCTTAAGAAAAAAGCCAGCTGGAGATTTCAGCGTGCACCTTTGTTTTGCTAGTCTTGCATACTCACCCTCTCCACCTCTAACACCAGACTCTCAGGCTTGACTCACTCATTTTCTTTTCTGTTTAATTTCAGACTTCAATTAGATGTTGTGTCTCAAGGTCCCATGAGATCCAATAACTTTTTAAAAGCCAAAATCTCCATTTTATAATATGCCTGAAACTGGATAGCTCAGTAATTGCTAAGACACAATAGCAGGGATATGCTCTGCAGCATTATCCCAGTATTGATGCTGCCATAAACGATTCCTTTTTTGTCTTCATCTTCTGACTGCAAAAGCCAGAATTATAATTTCGTCATAAAAAAAATAGAATGATCGATTAATCATCTTTCAAACTCATGTACTGAATTAAACAGAGATAATGGATATAAACAGAAGCTTCATGTGGCAAATGTATCTTAGGTGTGAAAGCCCTTTCATAAAGACGAAAGACGCACATATATCCTGAATCCAGGATGAATGCATCTTTGTCGTAAAAAGGCCCCTTAAATCACATTATTGGCACTACTTTGTTTTTTCGGTAGCTACCAAAGATTTTTAACTCAAAAAAATATTCATATAGCAACAACATTTCAACAGCGTTGAACATGTCCAGTTTTGTGATTACAAACTATAATTTGCAGACAGCTTTAGTTTTCTGTTACCATTTAAAAAAAAAAAAAGGCTGCAGAATTGCATCAAATGCTTGTCGAAATTTAGGATGAGCAAAAATTCAAAAGTCGCATTTTGACATGAAGAATCAAGAACATAGAAGACCACCGATAAATACACTGTGCTCTATTATGAGCTGCTAAAATGTTAATAATGATGCTATAAACAACAAATGACTGATTTGAAAAATTACCAAAATATCAAAAAAGACGACACAAAGTAATTTTGCAATATGATAATGACCAACTACTATTTATTTGCATCGATAGTGTATGCTAGTGCTCTTCAGCACTTTACTTCATATGAAAATGGCTTAATAACAAAAGAATTTTTCTGCCAGAGCATCCATAGATTGCCAAGATGATGGGAAAATTTTTTAACCAGCAATGGGCAATATTTCTTATCAAATATTTTTATGTAATAAAATTTTATTTTATTTCCCAAAATTCTGGTTTCATATTTACACACATAGTATATCCAAGAATTTCAAATATTATCGTTCATAAACAATCAAAAGAATGGATGTTACTACAAACTTTGTGCTTTAATAAATTTAATTTAATTTAAAGCAGAAGTTGATTCCGTATTTTTCAAAAGTAGACTATTTTTGTAACATAGTCACATTTTTTTTAAATTATAATAATTTAAAAATTATTATTATATTAACACTTCACATTATAGATCAGAATGTGTAAATCAATATTTTATGTTATGACATAAATATAAATATGTTATAAGTTCATTCATGCCTCATTTTAGATGAATAAAATAAAGATATCATGTTACATTAAGTAGCTGCCTCATCTATCTTGATTGAAGGACTCCATTTCTGTCTTTATTTAGATTTAATATTTAATATAGTTTTATATAAATTATAATTTTTTTTTGTTTTTTATAATAAAATTTCTGTAAAGAGTAAAAGTTATCATATAAAAATTAAAAAATACAGTTTCTATGCGATAAAAAAATTGTCTTTTTCAACAATATGAAAATTGATAGTTTTTTTTTAAATTTATAAACCATCAATACTTTTGTAGATATTTTAATGTTTAAAGGCTCGCATTATTATTTTTAAAAGGTTTATTTCAGCCTGTTAAAATATACTTTATGCACCTTTAACACCAGACACGTTTAAACATGTTTATACACTACTTTCACCGTGCCCCACCAGTAGAATTGGATACATGTATTTAGTACCTGCTGGATGAGCTTCCGAGCTGGTTGGAGGTTCCCCGATGTCAATTTCGACCTCAGTCAGTTTAGCCGTTGAGCCAGTCCTCGATAGACTGAGCCTTGCGCTAGAACCAGCCCGAGAGAGGCTCATATTTAATGACCTCTCAATGTCTTCCAGCAAACTGTCACCACCGACTGATGATTCAGATCTTAAATGCGGCCTCCGTTCTGGACTTTGGTGTACCTCAGCATTAACAGTGATGGAGTCTGATGAAATCGTTGCAGGAAGTTCTTGAAGGGATTGTCCTGAGTGAAAACTTGAAGACGCACTTGTACTATCGTTATTTGTCAAAGGTCGTCCGAGTATTTCGGCTAACCTTTGATCAGTGAGGAGGTGCAAACTGCTCAATAGGGGTGATGACTCTGTTGATGTCAGAGATTCGTCAAGTTTGATTGGTTCGATTGGCAGTGGAGGTGGAGGACTTGGGGAGATCGTTTCTTGCTCTCTTTCCGGTTCTTTAGATCTTTTTCGTCTGAAAAACCTTGAGAGAATATTGTTGTTTTTGTGATCAGAGTTACATCCCGTAAGTTCGGTCACATCGGTACTAAAGTCTGTAATATCATTAAGGTTTTCATTGAAACGAACACTATGACTTTCTTTAATGGCCCGATGTCTTCTTTTCTTGTGCAAACCGGAAAAGCTACCAGCTCGAGAGCTGATACTCGATACTTCGGAGAAAGATTCAGGCGTTGCCAGAGGAGCGAGGCCCATCCACTCATCGTGAAGCAGCTCAGGCCGTCGTTCGAAGACAGGAGATACAAGAGAGATAAACTCCCAGGGAAGATGATTAGACTCGCCATCTTCCTTTTGGGATTGATGGTTATTGGATGTGAAGCTAGTTTCGAGGCAGATCCGTTGGGCAGGAGGCGTCGTCGCAGCACTGGATCCAGCCAGTAAGTGACAGTGCTCGATGTCTGATGGCCCTGAGCTATTGTTATTATTGTTATTGACTGATCTTTGAGGTTTCGCTGGACCCAAGCTTGTTATAACCTAAAACAATCGTAATATCAATGATAGTTAATCATAAATAGTTTAATTATTTAAATAATTTATAATGTATGTATATATTATTTAAGATCACATTACCAAACTTAGGGAGGTTTCAATTCAAGGATAGTCACAAGTAACAATACAATGGGTTAAGGTTTCAGCCAGTTATTAAACAGTGATATTATGATAAACATTTAAAAATATGGAAATTGATTTTCAAAGTTATTAATTAATGAGAGATTTAAGAAAGAAAGAGAAACAAAAATTACAGGTGGGATTTTATTTGAAGATTTCAAAACAAAAGTTTTAGTCCAATACCAAACTCATAGGCACCAGGATACAGAATAGAAGGAAAACACTTTCACTAAAGCAATAAAAAAGTAAAACTTTACAATTTAAAATAAAATATCATGGAAAACAATCAATGATATGTCTACAATATGAGCATGATGGGATCTTAAGTGAGCAGCTCACAGGAAAACAATTTATAATAACTTTCCGTAATAAAACATCATAAATAATAAAACAACAATCGTACAATGTTGCCTAACTTATCGAGATGATATCCATAATTATTTGAAATTTTACTTTCCAACGAACATAAAAAAATAATTGAAAACGATTAGAAATCTAAAAATTTTAAACAATTAGTAACGACCGAAGGAGCAAAGTGGATTCAAATATTTTTTTAAAAAGAAATTGAGTTGAGATTTCTATTTCGCTCTTTGAAAAACCTTCAAATAAATTTTCCATAGACTCCTCCTTGAAATTCGTTTTTCAAAAATCACAAAATGTGTGAAATTTCTTTTGGATTAGACCTAACATCGGAAAAGAAAACATCGAAATTGGACCATTATTAACAAAGATAGAGCCTATAGTATTGTACAAATAAAGTAATTCGACTGAAGAAAAGAAGATTATTTCTTCTATTTCAAAATACATATCATGAACTTATTTTTATATTATTATTGCCAATTGTTTTCCAATATTCTATGTAAATTGTAACAGATCACATTTATATTAAGACGTGAATTTGCCCTGTATACTTTAAAAATACATCATTAGCAAGAATAGACAAGGTTAACAACTAGTTCATCACACAATTTTCCTGTACTAACCTTAGGATAGATTGTTGATATTTTCATATATAGGGAAGTCAAAGTGAAAATAATGGTATAACTTCATTTAAACTAATTGATTACCATGTTTTTTTTCTTCCCATCGAATCTGTTAAATTTATACGTTTGTATCACTTTCCATTTCCTTTTACGACTGAGTGTAATATCAAAGATACTAATGATAGCAGTATAAAATAGATCTTTCAGGAAAATTGTCTTAGTTTTATTGGAAACATTTATCACAAAATTTATTTATCCTAAGATTTTATGAATCATTAATGTGGTATTCCATTTTTACGTAAAGATTTAATCACATTTCCAACAGTATGAATGATCTTATTTTGAGGACCTCACCAATTAACCAACAGATTCTAAACAGGTGAGCTAGGTGAGTTTAAATTCATTATTTGCTACTATCAAGTCCTGAGTACAACCAATCTGGACAGAGGTGTACATGGGACGTTTGATAAGCAAGAGGCTCATGTCTTCTTAGGTTGCAAACAGGGCAATCCGGTTCAGTGGTGATTCTGTAGGAGACACCTTTAAGATAAAGGCGCAACTTACGTTTCCTAGAGAGTCTACGTATGTATTAAAAGAAGTGTTTAGAAACCATCATGATCTGGCTGAAGCCTCCTAAAATGGTATCTTATGAAAAAGAATATTGAAAAATTATCTCTAAATGTAGTATTGTTCGTGTAATTACTTTTAATAGGACTTCAAGAATCACTTTAACACTATTTCGTATAGGTAGTTAGTTTTTTTTCTTTTTCTTCCAAAGTAATTATTGTTATATTAAAAGAAAAAAAGTTTTTGGGCTGAAGCTCCCCCCCCCTCCTTTCCAAAATGAAATCCTGAATTAGTTAGTGATTAGAATAAAACCTATCTGATATTAATGGCCACTTAATTTTATACTAATATAACAAGATTAATCAAAATGGTTAAAGACATTTTTGAAAAAATAATAAAAATGTGTAAAACCAATCATATATAGTGGTACTTGTGATAAGTTGATTTGGACAAAAAATTGCTTTAACATCCCAGGCGTATACATCATCATCATCATCATAGCTGACACCCATCATAGGCACGGTCCTGTGAAGCAGAAGTCCAGTTCCGGGTTTGTAAGAGGTCTATTGAGTCCACAGACACTCAGCCATCTTCCTCTATTTCCTCTGACATCATTAGTTTGGAAATCCTGGAATTATTCATCCGAGAGCTATGTCCAGAACACAGTGTAACTTTTCAATCTTAATGAACTTTTTGGATATCCATCTCGTCATAGAGCTTGCCAAGTTCCCAATTTTTTGTTCTGCGCCAGATATTCCTCTTTTTAACAAGCTTAAAGAATTTCCTGAGAAAGCTTCGCTCAAACCTCAGTTTTTCCTCATCGGGCTTGGTGGTAGCTCAAGATTCTGAGCTATAGATCAACACTGGAGGAATCAGTATATTGTAAAGATGAATGTTTTATTGCCCAGAGCCTTACTTCGTAGATGTTTAGGCATATATATATATATATATATATATTTAAACAAAACCATTTAATTGGGAATAAGGTCACTTATTAATTATTTAATAAACTACTGAATGTTCATTTCCTCTTTGTTTATTGACGTTTCGATCCCGGTATTTTTCTTTTTATAAGTTAACGATGGGATCCTCTTCAAAGTTTTAAAAATAGAGCTTCGATCAGGCCAGGGACACACCGACAGTCTCAGCACCGTGCACTAGCAAATATATTAAGCTACTCATAATATGTAGCTCTCATAATATGTAGCTTAATATATGTGCTAGTGGACGGTGCTGAGACTGTCGGTGTGTCCCTGGCCTGCTTGAAGCTCTATTTTTAAAACTTTAAAGAGGATCCCATCGTTAACTTATAAAAAAAAAAATACCGGCATCGAAAAGTCAATAAACATAGAGAAAATGAACATTCAGTAGTTTATTAAATAATTAATAAGTGACCTTATTCCCAATTAAATGGATATGTTTAAATTTAATACTCAAAGGTCGATTAAAGAAAAGTTGTAAATATAGATAGATAGATAGATATATCTTAAATAATTTCAGTTCTTTATAACTTCTCATTTTTTGAGCTAAGATGTTCACATTTCACAAACAGCCGATTTCTTGAGACTTGGTTATTAGTACATAGAGAATTTTACTAACGATCACAATAATTCCTCTTGATTGATATTTCATATATTAGTAAGTAAAAGTAAAAAATAAAAACAAAATTTATAAATACCATTATACCAATTTTATAATCCATTTAATAAATTATAAATAAACTTATCCATATATATTAATGCTGCTGTAAACTGTAACTAATAAAATTTTACTTAAAAATTAATTAATATATTTAATAAAGGATAATAATTATAAAAAATGAACCAATGTATTCTAGACACGTATGATGTAGATAAAATAAATAATTGTTTAGGAAGAGTTAAATTGTTTTAAAATATGTTAAAAATGGCTATGATTAGAGTCTTCACCAGGCCTTAACACTTTTCATAATCTACTGGCTTCATGCAGACATGCAGAAAAAAATAAATAAATAAATTGTGCTTATTGGAAAATGTGTAGAGGTTCTTCATGGCTTCCATTTTTTTTTTTTTTTTTTTTTTTTTTTTTTTTTTTTCTGAAGGGAACAATATTTCAATGAATTTACATTTATATATATCAATGATAATACCTTATATCAGTGAGGCCGTACTCTAGTGGTGCTTGTGCTATATCTGAGAGTGTTCGTACAGCTGCCCTATGCTTGTTTTTGTTATGGTGTTGCAAAACCTGATTGAGACAGATATTTGCCAAGTAATAGATACAGAAAATAAATTTACAACTTACAAAATAAGCCTTTATTCAACTAATAGTCTTGTTCAAGCCAAACCATACAAAGCTCAAAAATAGATAACACATAGCAATTGTAAAAAAAAAAATAAAATAAATAAAACTAATTATAAAAAAACATCAAACAGATTGATATATTTTTTAACATTTAAACTAGAATATAATTTTTACTATGGGCTTATTTTAATCTTATAAAAATTTCTGTGTTGAAGTATATAGTAGAAATGAAATATTTTAAATTTTCAAGATGATAAATAGTCATGATTTTCAGTTTAGATTGGTTTTATTCTGTTTGTTGATGTTTCGACTCAATCATACGGGTCATCATTTGGGCTAAAGATTAAAAATTACTACAGAAATATAAGATATAGACTAAAGTATATAAATAACCAATTTATTTAAGTCAACCAAGTTGTGGAAATAGGATCACCATCAGCGACTCATCAAAACCAACAGGTGCTATTTTGGCCTCAGAAGTTCCTACTTTTTAAAGTACATCTTGTGTAAGACACTTATTAGAGCTGTTCTAACTTATGGATCAGAGACTTTGACTCTCACTAGTAAGAGAAGGAGATTTTTATATTCGAAAGAAAGATGCTTTGATGAATATTTGAGCCGGAAAGATCGGAGAGGACTTGAGGCTGTGGTGGATTGGTTACGATTTGCACATGCTGCAGGAAGAAGAAGACCTCAGCTTAAATGAGAGGAAACTAGCATAGGATGACCATAAACAACTAAACATCTATAACTGGTGAGCGGCAGCACAAGATAGAGCTACCAGGCGAAGACCTGTCGAGGAGGCCAAGGACCACATTGGTCTGTAGCGCCACGGAGTAGTAATAAATAAATGAGCAAAGAGAAAAAGATAAATAGTACATATCAGAGAGAACTACAATAATATTGGACGACTGCTCAATTGTGTTGAGTTGCTAAATCACACAGCATACTCATCAATCAACAGATAATACTAAAAAAATTAAATAAAATAAGAGAGAGAGAGAGTTAGCTTGGCATAGCAAATATGTCAAGAACAGTTTAGAGAATCAAATAAGTGAAGGCCAAGATCAACATATCTGGTGAAGGAGGATTCCTAACGAGTCAAAAATAATAATTTCTGCCATGGTCTGCATCTGCTCCCTTCCAACACTGAGCCTCTGCAAGAAATTACTTGTATTAAGAGGGATTCTTCCTCTACTTACGAACCATATTCCTTTAACTATGAATTTTCTCTCACCGAATTCATCTCTATACTTTTCCTTTAAGTAAGCTACTTTTTATATAAATTTGCCCTTTCTCTACCTGTACCTTGAAGGCTTGATGTTGATCGTTTATTTCACACCTGATTGTAGGTGCCTCCTTTTCCGTCGCATGGATGCTAAAATGTCAACAAATCTTGTCAAGCCTTCTGTATCCAGACAAAAAAACTCTATAGTTCTTTGCTATAGTAAAACATCTATAGTTCTTCATTTTAAAGAATTCCGCTATATGATGCTTTATATTATTGTACTGGCAGGAGACAAAGAGCATATTATAAAATGCCAAGTAAGGTCACTATAGCTTCCTCACCGTAAGCATTGGCTAAAAAATATCTATATTACAAGGTCTAAAATTTTTTGTGTGAGAATAAAATCTTTGGAAAAAGCCATTTTCAGAAATTCAGTAATCCCTCCATGGGTATGATATCCATGAGTTTCATTCATCAGCGAATACCAAAATTAAAGGTTCGCATAAGTAGATTGTATATTTGCTGATTTGGGATTAAAAAAAAATCCAGTGCGTACTGAGTATGAATATCACTATTGTTAGTGCAAAAGGTCGTATGTAAACATTGAGTGTTTTACAGGAAAGCACAAATATATGGTAAGAGAAAAAAATAAATAATTAATACAAATAAATAGTATGCATAAAACAAATTGGGCTCCTTGGCATTTATTCATATAAATGAAACGAAGTTTTGAATTATAAAAACAAATTGGAATAGAGTAGAATTTTAAGGTGAGATTTAGAAACTTAAAAGAATATGAATAAATATTTAGAGCGACAGATGGAATCATATTATAACTAAATAAAAAGTAACTAATATATTTCATTGCTTAACAATATCATATTGGTAATCGTTTATATTTTATATTTCTGATGTAATTTTTAATTATAAGCCTTGATGATTAGCCCACATGGTTTGGTCAAAACGTCGAAAATCTGAATAAAACAAATCTAAACTAAAAATCATGACTTTATTATTCTTATAAAAAAAAAATATTAAATAAAATTTTTTTAATCTAATTATAGGAAAGTTTGAGAAGGAGTTAATTGGGGGATGCGGTCAAATAAATACTAAATTAAAATATAGTAATTATTTAATTTTTGCCGACGTTTCGACCCACTTTGCAGGTCGTCTTCAGGGCGTAGGATGTAGTACTGTGGGAGGCAGTTGAAACACTCTGCAGTCGACCTGCAAAGTGGGTCAAAACGTCGGCAAAAATTAAATAATTACTATATTTTAATTTAATATTTATTTGACTGCACCCCCCAATTAACTCCTTCTCATATTATATCAATGGTTAACCATCTCTATATCATTACAGGAAAGTTTGGTCAAGAATGAGTGGAGAAATTTTCACAAAATAAAATATTATGCACTTTGCACTATTATCACATCACATCTTAAATACAATAGATTCCAAATAATTTGTTTGAAAATAATAAAAAAAGTATTTTTTTCAGAAAATTGAAATTCTAATAAAATATTTTTTTCATGACAGTTTAATAATCTCAATCCCTTTTCACTTTTAAATCTCACATTTTGTCTTTACTTTACTGATATATTTCATCCTATTCAATTAATAGTTTTTTTTCCCATTGTTGCTTATATCACAGAAAAGGGATTGATCGCCTTACACCAAACCCAATTCTGCCAGATCAGCCTTAAAGCATTCCTCTCACTTTTGCCTCGGTCTATCCCTCGTACGCTTACAAGTCAGCATTGAGCTTATTGATCTTTTATGGATTATTTGATTACTAACCCTAACAATTTTACACACCATTTTATTTGGTGTAATGTAATCACCTCAATTATCTTTCACATATTCACTCACACTTATTTGGACCAAATATTCTAAACAATACTTTATTTTTAAAAATCTTAAAATGTTGCTCATCCCTTGTAGTCAGCAACCACATTTCACATTGAAAAAGAACCATAGAAAAGTAAACAGTTTTGTAAATTCTGATTTTTAAGTTCTGGGACAGGAGGCAAAATAATAAGTATGTAGTTTCACAATAGAAAAATAAACAAATATTTAATTTATATTTAAAAATGGGGCATGGTAGCTAAATGAGTAAGACACTATTCTCTATATCAGATGTGGATCTATCCTGGAATCAAGAGACCCTCCTGGGGGCATATCTCTATAAATCAGACATTTTTAATTGAGGGAAAAACTAGCGGTTAAGTTTACCTCTAAGCATTACTTTCTTATAAAGTACTGCACCCAAGACTTTTATTATTATAGCCATAGATATATATATTTTTAAAAAATTAAAATAAAACATAAAAAAATAGTGAGCAAAAATTATAAGTGAACAGATATAAAAAAGTGTTGAACATATAAAGTAAATATTCTAAATACAGTAGATTCAAAATAGTTCGGTTTCAGCTAATCTTGTTTTCTATTTAAAATCAAAACTTACTTATTTAGGTATTCACCTATGCAATTAAATAAGTGGATAATATTTTTAATTTTCAATAATCAATAATTTACTGCTAAATATATATTCTACTTTTTATTAGGTATTTTTGTTAAGTAAATTTCTTCCAATATATTTTAATTATTAAAATGTTACATTAATATTTCAAGATGTCTACCCATATTCAGGATAATTCGCTTATACATATTGGCCAAAATAATTTAAATTAAAATATGGAAGGGACGATATGTATGTCAAATATCAAAATAGATACTATTGATGGTAAAATATCAAATATCGACAGGAAAGTATCGATAGTTCGATGTTATTGACTATTGATGGCCATCTCTACACCCAGCCCTTTGATTTTATTAAGCTCTTTTCATTATTGCAAAATTTTTCACAAATATGTGGAGAAATGACAAACATTACTTAAAAAAAAATATATTTAAAGTGTTTTCAACTCTGTATTTGTAAAATCAATTTACTTCATTTATTTGATTTTGTTCTTTTTATTTATGATTTAAAATTTTTAAGAATTTTATACATATTACTATTCTGTTAGCCATGAATTATTTAGGATCTACTGTATAAAAATTCTAAATACAAGATTTATCGCTAACAGCTAATGAAAAATGAAAACGAACTTTAAAATCAAAACAGAAACATAAAGTGAAACAGATATTCCAAACAATAAGAGAAAAGAAAGATTCCCTTGCAAAGAAATAAAATGAAATGTGTGTTATAAACATATATCTCTTAAGCAAAGTTGTAAGCCATCATGCCATGCGACAGCTAGAAGTAGTTCGATTACAAACTTCCGTAACTTCTAAATTTCTAGAAGTTCATGCAGAGACTAATCTCATTAATGATTTTCGAACATTGTCTTTTCAGAATATCAAATGCAAAAGTGAAGAATAAAATAAAATTTATTCTATAGATACCTTATTTTAATTTCTTTGATATTGTCGTCAGTCCAAAGACTAAAATATAACAAAGAGTTTTTTTATACTTCTTAATTAATAATTACAGCCACTAACTATCATTAAAAGCGATACCTTCACACAATTTATCGTAGTTCTTCTTGGCAACTTAAAACAGGACACTTAATTGAGTAAACAAAAAAATAAAGTGTATATAAATAGAAAATACCTTATTCAGTGCTTCCAGTACTTTATCGGGCATGTGATCTTGTATCATTACTGGAGAAATAAGAACCTCATCAAAATCAGTGTTATTCGCCCAAATCGCTTGGTATACTGGATCGTGCTTCTTCAATACTTGCCTGTTAATTACGGATCAACCATTTAAAAATTGAAAAAAAAAACTAAGTATATCTCTACTGCAGTTCAATTGTGTAACATCTAGAAAAAAGTTAATTTTGAGATATGCATGTATTTTTAAAATTAGAAAATAATCTATGGAGTTCAATATTGATTGTATTGTATTGATGGCTGAGTTCAAAACTCAAACAACCCAAAAATCAATGGCTTTCCGTTTTATTCTGATACATATGGCCAGTAATCCCTTCTTCATATTGTACTTGGTTTTATACAACCAAGGTTTATAAAACTACCTAATTTAATTTTCATAATGTATAATATAAAATAAAATAATAAAAGGCTTAGCAAACCCGAAGGTTCGATGCCGACACCACCAATCATTTATTACACATCTCCACTAGTCGCCATCCAAACCCAGTCCCTTCAGATCGGTCTTAACGCAATCTTCCCACTTTCGTTTCAGTGTATCTCTTGACCAATTTTCAGTTGGCACAGCGAATCTTAACTATTTAGGAATTTTTCCATTACTAAGCCCAAAAATTTTAAATACCCATTTGATTCGCTGCGAACTAATCAACTCAATGATATTAACCGAATACAGTTCACACAATTCAGCATTGTGTAATAATCTCTAAACTCTCCGGTTAACTCATCCTTCTTCGGTCCAGATATTCTACGAAATACTTTATTTTCCAAAATCGTAAGTCATTTCTCATCCCTTAATGTAAGAGGCGATGTTTCACAACCATAAAGAACCTATAGATAGGATAATGGTTTTATGGGTTCTACTTTTTAAATTCTGGGACAGTAGTCACGAGCTAAGGAGTTTTGTCACAGAAAAATAACAAGCATTTCCAGCTTTCAGCCTAACATTAATCTCCTCTTCCTTTTCGTTTTTTCTAGTTATTGTAGATCCTAGATACCTAAACTTCTCTACATGTTCAAACATATTACCTTCTATATCGATATCACAGGCAATATTGCCATTTTTGCAGTTAACCATATATTTTCTCTTATCCGTGTTTATTTTGAGCCCTAGTTCTTTACTGGCTTTCTTTAACACTGCCATATCTTAATAATTTTATGACTTCCGTGTCTTCGCTTAACAGGACCAAATTATTGCCATAGCCAAGCACATGTGTTGTCCCATCCAGACCCAACTCTTTTTCAATAGGCATTACCTCCCTAATGCCAAATTAAACAGAACAGTTGAAAGGAAATCACCTTGTTTTAACTCTGAATGAACTTAAAATATTCAGATAAATAATTACCGATTTTAACTTTACTAAGTGTTTCCGTCAAGCATATCCTAACTAAATTTACTGATTTTTTTAGAATCTTCTGCTCGATAAGAATATATAATATGTAATAATATACAGGGTGTTTCAGGGTTAAGTGGCCAAATTGTAAAAATGAACTAAGGACCTCAAAATAAGGAAAAAATTTCCTCTGAAGATATGTCCGCAAACGCATTGTTTAGAAGATATTCATACCTAAATATTTTCATTGTTATGAATTATTTACATCATATGAAATAAATAAAACCTATTTATTTGTTCTAACTATTTTATTAATTAAATGTAAACATTTAACATTCATATTAAATGTTGTTCAAAGTGATTTTCTTGAGCATTAAAACAGGCTCAGCATCTTTCAACAGCAGCAGTGGCAGAACGACACTGGATATGTGTTATTGTTTCACAAGATTCAATTATCCGTCTTCGTAAGGAATTAAGGTCATTTACCAGACTATTTAATTTTTTAATTGTTATTACCTATTTTAATTTTTATTATAATAGATAATTTTGTAGACCTTGGTACAAATCTGCACCATTTTAAAATGCCTTCAGTATCAGTGTAAAAGTTGATGTTTCACTATGGAATATTTCATTTAATTATTTTAGTTTGTTTAAAACTTATGAGCTCGTTTTTCTCATAACCTTGATCTTTGAGTTGTTTCAGTTTTGAACTGAACCATAGGTATCATTATTAATTGTAATGTCTTGGAATATATTTTTTTTACTATTTTACAGAGATAATACAAACCGCAATAATCTTACTCTTCTTGCTAAAAATACAAGCGAATCTCAAAAGTTATTTTTTTTTTAGATCTTACACTATTGAGTTAGGAAAGCAATATTAATTACTTTGGTTAAAATAATAATTTTTTATGCTTAGCTTCAATTAATATTTTCAAAATATTAAGGACTAAAATGTAAAGAGTGTATTCTAATCATGTGAGAAAGAAATTATATTTGTATAGACCTAATCTATCTTCTATAATTGACTAAAAAATAAATTTTTGTCACAATGATTATTTGGAAATTACTCTATTACACAAATAAGTCAACAATAATCGGTACTTAAGATTGTCTTTAGGTTTATCAGAAGTAATTTAAATTGCCCTAATTATGGATTAGTGTATCAATAAAAATGGTAGCAATTATATAAAGTGAATTAATATGGAGTAAAATCTAGAGGAATTTTCTAATCATTTAAGAAAAAAATAAATATATATGAGGAATATTTGATCGAATGGTTTATTTGTAATAGCTTTATTACAGAAATGAATCAAAAATAATCAATTTTTCAGATTATATCAATCACAAGTAATCTAATTGCCCACATTATAAATAAGTGTATACAAAGCGTAATTTTAGAAAGCTGTGCTGTAGTCAATCTACATAATATCAGCAAATTTTGTTAATAAAGCAAGTTTTAAAATGTTGTATGACAAAAAAAGTCAAACTAAAAGCCCAATCAAAAGTGTTGTAGCAATTTTATATTTGTGCATATTATTCTAAGAAGCAATTTCCACAGTTTTAACTATTTTACTTACATGATGGGTCATTTTAAAAATTAATTAATTATTTAAGTTCTTTAAATTTAATTAATATAGAGCACTCCTAATGAACAAGAAAAAAATGTGTCCACATACAATCTTGTTTTATTAAGATATTCCTTATAAGTCTTTTTCAAAGTTTTATGAAGACGGAATAAAACAACATTTTTGATTATTATAGGAATTTAATAGGGGCCAGGAGTGTGTTTATTACTATAATTATGTTTTATAAATGCTACCTCAAAAAAAAACAAAAAACATTTCATCTATAATCCGTGGTACACACCCCTTTTTATCAAATTATTAACATCCAGCTGAAACTTTGTGAATAGGTTCATCTCATCGTAACCTTCAACTATTTTAATTACGAAAACTCTTGGAATTGGGGCATTTTCAATCTGGAGATCATCAAACTTTGTTTATTTAAGTAGGTAATAAAACCTCGTATATACCCATTTGCTTTCCTCTTGGATCATAAGATAATTTGATCACAAAATTGAGAAAAAAGATAGCATACAAAAATATTGGGCCATTTGGCTCATATAACCTCATTATTTTGACATTTTGGGGGTGTAGGTCACGCCAAACAGCTCAATATCAGCAGTCCATATTTATTTTGTTAAAATTTAACGTGACTTATGAGTAATAGCTCCCCTTAAAAGCCATCCAATAAATTGAAGATGGCTTAGCAGCCGAAACATCACAAAAATAAATTTTCAAGTGATGAACTATTTTTCTAGTATCAAGAATTCCTAATAAATTAAGTCCCTTCACCGGAAACAAATATACCACAATAAGACTTTTATAAAAAAAAAATATTAATTTTCCCCATGTTAAGAATCAAATAAAATCAATCAAGTCATATTTACATAGGTATGCTTCATGATTTTATTTTAATCATAGAATTGAAGTGATCAAAATGAATAAGTTATAATCACAATAAATATTCTTCATTTTAAAACGTTTCCTTACCTCCACTTTTTCTCATATTTCTGCCTGTTGACAGACATGCAATACAGAGAATTCTGTCAGTAATTTGTAATACAATTATTATTTAAAAATATAACGTTCAAATTTTATATTAGTTTTTTTTTATATTAAGATAATGGTTGATATTCATGCAGACTTTTAAAAACAAAATATATAAATGAATCTTTGGTACCCTTGAAATTTATAATTTTAATTTATCAGATATAATTTATTAATAATAAATATTTAATTATTTATTATAGATTTCTTAAATGAATACAACTAAAGTTCATCCAAAGTATCAAATCTTTTTCTAGTTATAATTTAGTTATCCAGTTAAGAAGTTAGTCTAGTTTTAATAGCAATAGAAAAAAATATTAAGAAATCTGTGCGATACTGCGCAACTATCGTTTGCTCCTACTGTTTGCTTTACTACTAGCCAAATTGAAATTCTAATTAGGCTATGGATAGAAAAAAAATCTACTAAATTATATTCAAGCAGTAAGCTTTATAGTAAGAAATAACTTGATAATTTCTGGTGAAATATAATAAAATTTTGATTAAATAGGTTTAAAGAAGAAAAGAGGCAGTATCTAGGAATGAGAAAAAATAACTAATTAAAAAAAAAATGTTATTCTATAAAAATATGTCAATATCAGCATATTGAGCTTTTCATTTATAATAAAACTAATAGTTACTAACTCAGTCTTAGATGGGTGGTGCCTGACGACATGTATAATACTTCCGGGTGGGTAGAGGGGCTGGTGTAACGTCAGTGCTATTGTGTTATCGCTCGGATGAACGGCTGCCTCTCGAGCAGAATTCTTCTCCAGTTGATAAGCCTGAAAGTAATTTATAAAGTTCTAATTGGTATTCATTTGAAGTAAATTTTATCTAGTCTACAGTGAAGCAATCATTTATTAATTAAATTAAATATTTCTTTAGTTATCGCTTCCAATTCAACAAAAAACATGGACGCTTAAAAAACCACAAAAGTTGAATTTTCTACTTATATGCTGAAAATTGGCCCATTGTTTATATGAACTTTTTTATAGCCCTTAAGATCTGCTATCACTCCAATAAAAATTTCCCTCTACTTATGGGACACACTGTTTAGAAACAGATACAAAGTAAGAAAAAATAATATGTACCTGCATTGTCGCTGAATCTGCTTTCAATTCCACAGCTGATGTTGGCATTGGTGCGCAACCGCAGCAGAATACACTACATGTTATTGTCTTCCACTACAATTAAACAATAAATTAGAAAAAGTTATATTAATATATTTTTTTTTAAATCATGAAGGCAATATATGTGTACCTTTGGATCTTTACTTCTTTTTATCGCATTGATGAGATCAGCTCGCAATGATTCCATCTGATATAGCCCGATACGCGGGACTACATCTTTCCCAAGTACTACAGATGTTATAAAACTCTTAGTGTACTGTACAGCAGGCATACTATAATCAAGAGGGAACAAATCGCTAAATCATGAAAATTAAAAATTTCAGTTTAATATATTTTGTTTGCATAGTATTATTTCATGGCACAGATAAAAAAAAAAGTAATTTGAGCCATTTTATGCTAAATATTAAATCCTCTTCTCTTAGAAGTTTATTAAAAATAAATTATAATGATACATTTTTTCATCCTTTAACTTTATCAGCAAAACTTTAATTGTATTTTAAAAAATTGGTTGCTTGATTATTTTCAATCGAATACCTTCCAGTTCAATGTCGAGAGCCCTGAACCTAAAACCATGAAACAGGAGCATAGATAGAGCATATTGTGTAAGAAATTTTGTCTTCAAGTATAGGCTTAAGTTCTTTTGTCAAAACTTGCAAGAAAGAAATATAAAATAACTTTTAATTTACATTGAATATGATAAGCTGTTTTCTAAAAGTAATATGTAACATCAGTCCTTTGTTTCATTAAGTAACTATGAACTGATATATATAACAAAAGACTAAAAATAGCACCAAAATTTTAACTATAATAGGATAAAGCAGTCATGGACATAGCTAAGTTAATTTTTGTCTTTTTTGGCTTATTTTGCCGTAATTATTATAGTTATAAACTTCTCCGTTGTACATTTAGAATTTCTAGAGTCTCTTTATTCTATTCACCACTTTAAAATTGAAAAAAAAAATACTCAGTTATGCATGTAAAATCTCTATTTAAAAAAAAACACTTTTTTGCACTAGTGATGGACACTCTAAACTTTAATTGTTATAATAATGTACAGGGGGTCGGTACCAGTAATGGAAATACCTCACAAAAATTCTAAATTTTTATTTGACTATAAAGATAAGATAAGATAAATTTTCAACTTAGTCTTAGCAAAGCTAAGGGAATGAAGCGTTAGTAGGAAGGTATAAAACACACCGATCTCTAAGAGCACTATAGAAACAACAATGATGGGCATTTTAAAATTTTATTTTGGATACTTTGTTCATATTGTTGTCAATAGAGGGCATTGTTCTTCAATTTGGAGAAAACTATAACCTTTAAATCAACAACAAAGCTTATTATTTACATTTAAAGTCCAACCTGTCAGACCATTGGGCCTCCTGTCCATAACTGGTCTATTCAGCCTAATAGTTCAAGACTTTTTTTACATCAAAACTTAGAAAGAGTTACCATCAATCAAGTATAATAATTACCTTAGAAGACCTCCAGGTGGAGAATAGGCGAAGCACTGAAGGTCAGGATACGTCTGCCTCAGCAGAATAGCCAGGATGGATGCTGTTCCTGCTCCGAGCGAATGTCCAACCAGAACGAGGCCGAACGTCTCCTGTGGCTTTTCTTGAGCAGCTAGTGTGAACGCTTCATTTAAAATATTTTCTTCCATAAGTTTGTCTCTGATGTATACTGCTGCATGAACCATTCCCTTAAAATTGATTATACATGTTAAGATTGTGTATTTAACTATCTTTTATGACATTTGCAACTGTAAGCTTCTGCATTTTTCTTGATAATGACCTTGATTTATTGACTGATTATTGGTGAAGCAGCAGATCTCTGAGCCATTTTCTTTTTAATCTGCATCAAGCAGTAGTAAACAGAGGGAGAAAATCAATAGAATGAGTGGATTTAGGTGATTCTTTCTTTTTTTTTTTTGGGTCCTCCCCTTCCTCGCCGTTAAGGCTATACAGACGGGGTTTTCCAGGGATGTCAGGGGGTGTGGGCAGGAATTTAAAAGACTCCCTCGGCAACGGGATGCGAACTCGTGACTATTTTGATATCATTTGTCATATATCAGGTTGCTGGGCAACGACGGTGCTGTGCACACGTGTTATCCCATTCAGCCACCACGCCCACTGGTGATTTTGGGTTGAACAGTGCAATGTTGTATATTTGTTGTAAATGTAAGATTTTACTGTTGAAATGTTTAAATCTTATAGTCCATGGTACTGACTCCTTTTTATTGAATTATTAACATCCACCTGAAACTTCGTGAATAGCTTCATCTCATCATAGCTTCTCTAAGTAATCTAATTTCACTGTCGATTAAAAAATCGTCGGCTGTGATATCCTAACTTTTACCAGTAGGGAGAGCATGGACAGCTCCTTGTGTCTAGCTGATTTCTTATAAAAATTTATAAATATTTAAAAAAAATTAATTGTATTTAAGCAAATCGATTTGTAAATAAGTAATTTCTTTCTCCCCTCATACATAAGGAAAATAAATATTTATTAACTCTGTTATGTTGATTATTATTAAAATAAAAGGCTTATTTAATTTTACTTTACCTTTTAAACAAATAATTATGAATAAAAAATTTTGGTATTTAATAAAATTAAATTATATGTAAGTCAACTTTCAATAACACAAATTGTTTCTCAAATAACATTTCACCTTAACCTAAAACTTTTTTATTAACAAAAAACCTCAGAAATAGGGCGTTTTCAATCAGGAGATCAGCAAACTTTGTCTATTTAATTAGGTACTTTTTTTTTTTCTTTTCTTTTGGCATTACAGACCATGTAGCCCTTTTCCGCTTTAACAAGCCTGCTACATCTCTGTCTGTCTTGAGCTGTTTCTTTCCATTTATCCGGAGCTCTGTTGCATCTTTGTTGATTCTATCTATCCATCTGCTTTTTGGCCTTTCATGTGATCTTTTGCCTTCTATTGATGCATTTATTGTTAGGTAGAGGCTTCAATGGAATTAATTAGGTACTACAAACTTGTAAATAAATACCCGTTTGGTTTCCACTTGGATCTTGAGATAAGTTGAAAAAATTGAAAAAAAAAAAAAAAAGGTAGACTGCAAAAATATTGGGCCGTTTGGCCTATATAAACTCATTATTTTGAAATGTTGGGGTGTAGGTCAAACCAAACGGTCCAATATTTTTGTAGGCCACCTTTTTTTCTCGATTTTTTAGTATCTAATTAAATAGGCAAAGTTTGCCGACCTCCAGATTGAAAACACCCCAATTCTAAGATTTTTCATTAAACAAAATATTTATAGGTCATGATGAGATGAAGCTATTCACAGAGTTTCAGGCAGATGTTAATAATTCAATAAAAAGGGGTCTGTAGCACGGACTATCAATAGTTGTTATGGGGTCATTTGGTCATAAACAAGATGAGTAGATCGAATCAACAAACATGATATTCAACTTCATGCAGATAACAGGATAAAAAAATAGCTTAAGATAGGCAAAGATGGAAAAAACTGCTAAAGGTGAAAACAAATATCTATAAGACAATAGAAAAGAGAAAAAATATATTCTTATCTGTAAAGGGTACAGTAATATATAGTGATCCGACAAATAAGCATCAAGAAGTACATGGGAAGATTAACATCCTGAGAAGATGGTTGATTGATTCTCTAGAGAATCCGGAGATTGGGATTTGAACCCACAACCTTAGGGTTTGTAAGGAGGTGTATTTATGCATGTGCCTTAACTTGCTCAATCCTGATCCCAAAAAGTTGAAAATAAATAAAGTGATAAAAAGATTTTTTATTTTATCATCAAGAGCATTGGAACAACACTCAATATCTTAAAATTATTAAAAATAGACACCTTTAATTCTAATCAACACAATAATAAAATTTCTGTTTTACTTCCCTACAAGTGTCAGTCCACTTTGATGGACTGACCAAGATCTCATGATCACACTATAAACGGAATTCTGAGAATGACTGATTTTGATAACTTGTTCATGATTTTACCTTCCCCTTCTTTATTTACATTGTGATTTGGAACTTCCACAAACCCTCAAGTGGTACTTTTTAGTTAAAGTTACGGACTTAATTAGCTTTAATTACATCACTTCTTGCGCCTTCCACTTGCTATGCTTGCTCAAAAAAGACAACCAAACCCTTAATGTGACCTTTCCAGCTGAGGTTGGTGCCTTACCAGATGTTTCGTTCACTTCCATCTAGTTTGGAAAAATTCTTGGATTTCCATTTATAGTGTGATCATGAGATCATGAGACCCCCACATCGAAGTGGAGCAACAATTGTAATATCACTAAAATATAATATAACTTACTTTGTGACCAAGCCAGTCTTCTTTAGGAGGGTTTAGTGGCAACGTTTCACTTTCAGCATTTAAATCAGTAATTACATCCTAGAACAGTTTAAATTCATGTTAAAAATGTTAAATATTAATTAATTAATTAACATGTTAAAAGAAAAATATTAAGCTAAATTAATGAATAATCCATGGGCCTCAAACAATTTCTAAGATATAAATCTACTATTATGTTTTATACAAACCTTTAGGGTGATAATTGAAAGTTGTGTAACGCTTCGATCCAGATACGTATTTTTTTAATCTCTTTTTCTTATTTGTCCCAGTATTTTTGTGACAATAAAGCTTATAATAATATATTCATGTAGTATGTCCATTAAGTATCATATTATTTGAAAAAAAAAACTACGGTGTGTGCTGAAGACCACACGATAGAAGTAAAAACATCAACAAGGCAGACTTTGTTTTTACATTGATGCTAATAATTTGATAAAAAGGTGCCTGTCTGTACCTCAGACAAAATGAAGATGGCTTAGTTTATGTTACTAGTGATGCCAATTTAATCCTAATGTTAAGCAAATTACTTTTTAATTCAATATTAAATTTTGCTTAAAATAACAAAGATCTATTGCATTTATGGCCAACTTCTACTTAGGTGCATACTTAATTTATTTATACCTTCATTGATAAAGTCCCTCTGATACTGACGACTATTTTGTTTCTTGAAAAATCTATGGCGACAAAGAATGGTGTCTCAGCAACATCGACATGGTAAGTTGCGTAGACAATGACGACTTGCCCTTTTGATAGCATTCCTTTCAAGGCGGCATAATTACAGTTGCAGCAGTTGTCTCCGTTAACTTGAGGGTTAGATCGACATAACAGGCAACTGAAAATAAAAATCATGTTACATAATGTATATCTTACCAAATAACAATTGTAATATAAGACCGAAATCAAATATTTGTAGTATTATCAAAGTATAATAATAAGTTGAAATGAGTTAGAGATAGTTATTTAATCTTGTGTCACACGAAATATCAATTTTTGGATTTGACATTTAAATATAATCTTTTCACCATTAATACGATGAAAACTCTAAGGATTGAAATATGAAATTATTTAGTATTCATTCATTACTTCCTTTCTATGAATAATTGTTTCTGCAATTTTCAGTATAGATTTATGTTTTTCAATCTTGATCATAGGCGCTGATAATTTAGAACTATTGACAAAGAAGAGGAAGGTTAAAGTTACATTATAACAATATTAATTTATATTTCCCCTTATATATAACAATATTAATTCCATTTCTCCTTGAAACCCGTAAGGCTCCTAGTAACTTCCTTAATTTTTCCCTACTTTGACTATTGCTGTACAGTATGTAGAGGCGTCTCTGAGGATCTTGAGGCGAAATTAAAATGTTTGATAAATTGCTTACAAATCCTCTGTTTGTTCTCGCAATACTCGTTTCCATTCTTCTGATTTATACATAAGGGCCCTTAACCGCTGCTTTCGACAGATCGTTCATTATCAGATCCTCATCCCTATGGAACTTCACCCCTCCCCAAATCCGTCAATCCAAAACCCTTCCTACCTTTAAATCCCGCCTGTTTAATCATTTCTGATCCATCCAGTCCTCATAAAATTGTAAATAGTTTCTACTGTAAATATGTATATAAATTATTGGATCGTTCTTCATTATTTTTACTTCATGTTTATTTTCAATTTTTTATTTTTTATCATTAACTGATTTAAATTAGAAAGTAACTTATAATTTCTTTTATTGTTTTGACTATTTAATTAAACTATATTCTTGTTTATCTATCTCTGAGGCTCCTTAGCCCACATTTTTTCTTTCTGTATTATTCTAAAGGGACTCGTCCCAGAATAAATAAAGCATTATTATTATTATTATTATTATATTACATTGGAGGGGGAGCATACAATGTCATACTACACAAAAGTCAGTTTTTAATGTGCATAAATAATTAAGTGAATTTTTTTGAAAAATACAGGTTGAAAGTGGTGGAACATAATAATAAAAAAAGTTGTATAGAAATATAAATGTATTTCTAGGAAAATTTTGAAAATAGGATTTTAGATATATGGTGGTTAAATGAATGATGATGATTTAGCATTTATCTTATTATTTATTTAATTTTTGTTGCTAATAACTGGGCTCCAGGGAACTTTCATGACTAAAAAAGAAAAAGAAAACATATTAATTTTTTCTTCCAGATTGAAAGCATAGGAAAGTCAAAGACCTCTTAAGACAATGTCTTAAATCTTGAATAGGTAAAACTTGCAATAGTTAAGTAGTGATTTATTGCTATTTGAGATAGTTTTTTTTTTTTAATCTTGAGAATAATTTAATGTAGTATCAATGGAAGAATATTATTTTTAATATTTATGAATAGAAAAAGGATCACCTGATATTTTGAGAGATCTTACAGAAGTTGACTAGCGGTGTAGTCATTAGGAACATAGGCCACCCATAAGCAGCCAAAGCATAATGCATGAAATGTATAACTGCTTGGAAGTGCTGGTAGTGTTGCATGTCGCCCAGCGGCAGGAACTTGGTTCTAGGTGTAACTGGCACTCCCGATAAGTATTCGTAAGTGTCATTTTTTCTCTAAAACATAATAAAAAAAAAAAGTCAAGACATCTTGTAAGTCAACAAGCATTTCCTGCAAAAGTAGAAATTTTTTTTATAAACACTATTATTAGTTATGTAGATTTTTTTTTCCTTAGCTCCAATCTGTATTAGGAAGAAAGATAGAAACCTAATACGAGAATGTTCGATCGATTGAATTTTTTCTGGTCATGGGAGAGGGTGGAGGGTTAATGTCAGAGTTAAAAGCCCCCTCAGCACCGGGATCTGAACTTGTTATCTTTGGTTTATCAGGTTGCCGGACATATTTTACACAACGCATTAGCCCGCTAGGCCGTCATATTCCCACTTCGCATTGTTTACCTTGACGTTATATATGCCACTGAAAATAGGTCAAATGAAAGATAAACACTGAGGAAGCAATATGCCAGCTAGCAGGAGTGTCCATCCCCCCAATGTCGATGGTGCATGAACCTCCTCCTCTCTCAGGATATTTTATTGCTCTTCTTTTCTTAAAAACAGTGCAAGCGAAAGTAGAACTAAAAAAACTCATAATTTTTCTTGTAAATTTTTATTTATTAGTTATACATATTCCTGGCTCACAATAAATTTGCCATCTACCTCGGTATTCACCAAATATGATATCAAGGAGAAGAAATGATAGCATAAAGAAAAAAGAATAGTGATATCAAAATAAAAAGACAAAAAAAAAAATAATAAAAAAAAATAACAGTAATAAACAAGACATAATAACACACACAAAAAAAAGATAATGCAGCAAATAGCTCAATTCAATAAGTCTCTTGGCCAGCGCCTCAGCAGTCTTCTGGGCGGATTATATGGATTTGTGGCAGTAGATAGAGCTGGAGGAAGTGGATTGGAATTTAGAGTCAGTCTGTCATGAAAATTATTAAAGTGGTCAGTGGCAGTTGCCGTGATGAAAGGAATGCTAAGGCCAGTGTGTAACGTGAGGTTTGAAACATAAAAGGGGACTTTTTCCGAAGGACTTTTGACTTGAAGGACTGAATGATTTTGATATTTGATTTCTTTGCTGTCCCCCATAGTTTGATCCCATATGTACAAAATGGTTTAATAAGTTTAATTCTAGTTAAAAAGTCTATTAGTCACTACTTTAACTCTTCTGAGGCAAGTGAGTGTCTTAAGAGTACCTCCGTTCTAAAAGTTTTTCCCTTTGAGCTGTCTGTAGCTGCTGTCTATTGCCCATAATTTTTCAAAAAATTTTTTTTGAAAATAAATATGATTTTGAGACTAGCAACGATTCAAATTTTATGTCACAAAAGGAAGAAGTAAACACAAATGAGGAAATATTCTTGGAACTTGCCTAAAGTATTAGGTAATAGAAAAGTGCAAGGCTAGAATATGCAGTTTTGTTAGAAAGACATTCATTGTTATCATTTTGACTTGAATTCTCACTCATTCTACAGCCCTTCAGTATACCTTCTGGTTTGAAGTGAACTGTAGTAATTTTATTATTATAAAAATTAAAAAGATAAAATAAATAAAACAGAATATTGCTGAATGTAGAATCTAGTCTCTTTTGAAACATTAAGATCTTAATATCAAATTATCCTGAGTTGAAATATAATGAAAAAGTTATCTTCTGTGAAAGAAAAAAACATTTCTATTCAAGAACACCAAAAATAGTTATCACATTTTTTTTAGTGATCTAGAAAAACAGCATCAACAATAATATTTCTAAAGTTAAAGTGAATTTCTTAAGTTTAATAAAAATTCCTAGGAATTTCATGATAAATGTTGCATTTTAACATTTGGGGGAACTCGAAGCCATACTTAAGTGCCTAATGAATTGCTCGATACCCTTTATCTTTGGGATCTCAAGGGAATCCATCCTACTGCTGTCAGTACTTCCTTGCTACCTTTCTATGCCAGGCCATTAGAAGTCAGCAACCCTCCTACATTCTTTAGAGTCTGCGATTCAAATCTTCCATTCAATCCCGTCCCACCAGAAGCCGTACTACTGACCTCTACCCTCCTCCTAACCAAACTGCTGCGTTTGACAAATCCTTTGCAATTCAAGCCGTCTTCTTTTGGAATTCTATCCCTTCCGATATCCGATATCCGACATGCACAATCAGTTTCCCCATTTAAATCTCTCTTTTTTAAGCACCTACTTCTTTCCTAATCCGACTGATCACGAAATGTACATAAGAGAACTTCTTAAAATTTCCCAGAAACCATGTTATATACTAAAGTTATTCTATTTTCTTTTGTTTAGTCTGTATATATATGTATGCTTTTGTTTTGTTCTTTTTTCTTCCTACATTTTTATTTATAATTATATATCATTTTGTAAATACCTTGTGCAATGCATGGCCACACAGGCATTTCCTCAGTATTTGTACTTTGTTCTAAAGGGACAACAGTCATAGGATAATAAAATATTTTTAATGTTTTTTCCTCGTCACACATTACTTTAACTCATAAGCTTGACAAAATATAACATAACAAACAAAATAGATGCTTTTAGATGTCAATTACACAATTTTACTTATTTTCGGGGTTTGACTTCATGATTTTGCAGATATGACTTTTTTAAATTATTGTTGCATGAAGATCCAGTCTCTAATCACATTACAATTACACTTGATGTGGTCTGTTACATGTTCCTCCCTTTCCCCTGATTTGTAGCTTTTAATTCTGAAAATTCATAACTCTGTTGAAATTTTTCCGTTCAAAAATGAAAAAACTCTGTCACAACGTGCTCTCTCAAAATTTTAATGGCTCAACTTGTGTCATGAAACCCTTTTCTGAGTATCCCTATACACCAGAAATTAAAAGATCAACTAAATCAATAGGTTGGAGCGAATTCCTTTACAACTAAATATGGTACTGCAACTTTGGAGAAATCTCATGCCTGTTTTATGAAACATTTATGAGTTCACGCTCCGTTAAGTGCAATCCATATCAGTAAAAGAGATATATTTACCCCAACTTATACTAACTAATTACCTGGCTGACATTAGATTCTCGTTCAATTTTTTGAAATTTCCTCAAAAGTACTAGACCAGCAACCACATCTGACGGCACAACATCTAAGTCTCTGAAGAAATCTGACAGTAATCTTGCAATATCGGTGAAGGAATTCTATAAGATAAATATAAAAAAAAGACAATTACAGTATACTTTGTTATAATAACATAAGAAATATAATAATTCCACACCTAAATATAAAACTTCTTTCATATGATATTGGTAAGAAAAATGTCATCTATATTTCAGAAATTGTATAGATTATGTCCATTAATAATCTTAAACTCTATTATAAGTGTCCTTAACTGTGACAAATTGTAATATTTCTGAATAAAGTGTTTAAAATTTGAAAAAAAATAATCTTAAGAATTTTAGATCTACATAAATTTGCTAGATAGGCAATATATTTAAATAGGTCAAATAAAAATTATTAAAAAGTCCATCAGCGCTCTCACTCAAACTCCACTGGCTTTAGCACCAGTGATGCGGTTGAGAGAGTAGCACAGGGATCTTTTGGAGTCCTGCTTTTCCCACTATAGTTGGAGGGATAAGCCTGGCTTAGGGTTCCCTACCTGATTGTATATATTATATATAAGTATGACTGAGTTTTTATGTTTTTAATTTACTTATCTTGTGAATGTGTTCATATATTACTATAATTATTGTCCACGTGACAGATTATTATATTTCTACATGAGTAAATAAAAAAAAAAAAAAAAAGTCCATCATCATTCCCTAAACTTTTCCTATATTAAAACTACCTACCTCTTTTTATTTTTAGGATTAAAAAAAATTAATATTTTTGAAAATTTGATATTCACCTCAGTTTCCCAGATTCCCAAAAAGTTTCCATGTATACTAAAAATCGACAGCCACACTGCAAAACCCTGTAAGAACAATTCTTTCGGAAAATGAAGTTATGAGTTTTTTTCTGGTCAATTTTGAAGATTTATACCTTTTTATATTGGCGCATATCCTTATACACAAATGAAATCTATGATGTTTCATTTCTTCTCTATGGCCTTCTGGCAAAAACTTGTAAGTTACATTGAAGGTTATAGAGATGTTGTCGTTACTCATTATTGGATTGCCTTACATTTAATCGTATTAGTCCGTGGTACAGATTCCTTTTTATCGAATTATTAACATTCGACTGAAACTTCGGGAATAGTTTCATCTCATCGTAACCTACAACTGTTTTATTAACGAAAACTCTTGGAATTGGGGCGTTATCAATCTGGAGGGGGGCGAGCTTTGTCTATTTAATTAGGTACTAAAAACTCGTAAATACCCATTTGCTTTCTATTTGGATCGTAAGATAAATTGATCGAAAAATCGATAAAAAAGGTGGCCTACAAAAATATTGGACCGTTTGTCCTGTGTAACCTCCTTATTTTGTAACGCCAAACGGCTCATTATTTTTGAAGGCCACCTTTTTTCTCGATTTTGTGGTTAAATTATCTTACGTTACAAGTAGAAAGCAAATGTGTATTAACGGGTTTTTAATACCTAATTAAATAGACAAAGTTTGTCCCCCTCCAGATTGAAAACGCCCCAATTCATTTATAGCAATTTTTCTCAAATAAAATAGTTGTAGGTTACGATGAGGTGAAGCTATTCACGAAGTCTCAGGCTGATGTTAATAATTCGATAAAAAGGGGTCTGTACCACGGACTCTACATAGTTATCACCAGAGATTAAGTGGAATTCATGTGATTTAAAGAAAGCACATGAGAGTACAATTTACACGAGTTTACAATTAACTTTATTGTCATTTGGACTTCTGTTTATAATTAATTATTTATCAAATTATGGATTTGAAAAGTGGTAAGTGAGATTATAAAGGCGAAATTCCACCGATTTCAATGATACTTCGCTAAAGTCATTTTCTTGACGCCCTTTAAATGTATCCATATAACATACTTCAACGAAAAGAAGCTGGAAAAAAATTTACGAGGAATGGTACAATTTAATTCCAAATAACTCAAAAAGTATATACTTTTTTTCTCTATATTTGGTCGATATGTTTTTTAAAAGTTTACGGACTTTCCTAAAAAAAAAATCTTTATAATCGGACAATTAGGAGCAAAGATATGGTATCAATTTTTTTTATATGTTCTACTCCTATACGTTTTATATGTTTTTAAATTTTGAATGTGTTACTGAAGTAATGCTATTTTTTTTTTTTTAGCATATTACTAATGATTAAAAAAAAAAAAAGTTTAGTCGAATAATTGGAATCACCTTTTATTTATTTTTCTTTTTAACTAGGAAAGTAATGTTGCTTTAGATGTATAGTTGTTTGGAAATAATAAAGCATTGTGAAATAATTTGCAGAGTTTTTTTCTTTTCTTGATTTTTTTAAATTTTTTGTTCTTAAAGGTCTTTGCAGTGGGGCAGTCGAAAGGTTATTTTCATGTTGTCCATATTTAAACTTCATAAAATATACTAAAATACATGATACTAAAGTAATGTACTAAGGTACATTGTCAATTGATATATTGGGATTTTAATCTATATATTTTATGTTAAAAATTAAGTATAAAACTTATTTTATAAACAAAGATAACTTAGTCTATATATATATAACAATTTGAGATACAAAATTTCTAAGTAATCGTTTTAGTTAAACTTCTCTGTTGAAACTATCGGAGAACTGCTTCCCACCTTTCTTAATTATAACACTGTCGAATAACTGGTTTACTTTAAAGTTTGTTTGCTAAATATTATAAAACTTTGTTCCAGTTTTAGAAGCAGTTATGTATATTATTTTTAAAAGTGTAGTATCATTTGTAAATCAAATTAGATTGTTATAATATGTACATAATACTGCGTTTGTATATAGGTTGTTAATTAATTAACTCTAGAGGGATTTCATTAATTTATTCCACGGGTGTTGTTTATGGTTTTCTTACCATGTTGGCTGCTTGATCGAAATCAATGTTTTCTCAAAGAAAATTTTGTTTACTTTATAGAGGTGTACTAAACATTTAATTAGCTTGAACAATTTTTGAGCAATTCCTTCTTATTAAAAAACCGTGACGACTTTAAAAAAAAACAAACACAAAATCGATCTTAATTACTTTTCCTTTGGGAATGGGCCCATGCATTAAATGTATTTTTTGTTGGAAATTTTGCCTTGAATTACTCTCCAGAGTTTTGCCTTTAAGAACTGACACCCTGTATATTTATTACAGTTTATTATACCCTTACAAGGAGATTTTTTTTTTTAATTCTAAAATTTCTATTTAATTATAATAAATTGAGTTGAATAAATTATTTAAATTAAAATGTACCTTGCTTCTGTCAGAGTTCCTGATACAGCAAAACAAGAGCCGACACCTGTGGTCCCAGCTGTCTTGATAAGCTCGTAGAACTTTTCTGCAACAACATTATCAACAGAGAATTTTTAATAATCGTTGATAAGTTATAATAATACAAAATATAATGTCAAATATATTCTTAAGCCTCCTCCAAAATGGTAAAATATAACCATTTTTTTAAAATTTATTTATTACCAGATCGGCTTGGTGGGCCTTACATGTTTTTTGTAACAATTTGATGATTTTTAACAATTTGTTCTGGTGGGGTATAGTCTTTGCAAAAGACGCCCCTAACTATTTATACATTATAATTATTGAATAATTACAATTATTGAAGAGAAAATTATTAATTGTTCATAACATGATGTCTTGGATCAGTCTGGGCTTCAGTCTTCGAGATGAGGTTGGGTTTCCTAAGTTGTAGGCCACTGCACCTTTAACTGCTGGTAGCTGCGTACGGAATTTTTTAAATCGTTTTTTGATGAATTCATCTATTATTTCCAATTTTAGTTCTCGATGTAGTTGAGCGTTTCTTATGAACCAGGGGGCATCTACTGCAATTCTTAATACCTTGTTTTGAAAGGATTGTAGTTTTTTTCTTTTCGTAGCTGAAGCTGCTCCCCAGACTTCACATCCGTACATTAGCAAGGGTCTTAGTATGGTTTTATGAATAAGAACAGTTGTCTCTGGTTTTAAACTAGATTTTCTATTTACTATGGGATATAACATTGCTAACCTTGCGTATGTTTGGGTCAGTTTATTATTTATATGGTAATTCCACGTAAGGCGGCGGTCCAGATAAACTCCGAGGTATTTTACTGCTTCACTAGCTGGGTTCCATTTTAGTTCTTTATTTTTGAGACTCAGTTCAGGTGGGTCTGAGGGACGTCTAAGAGTAAAAATTATTGCTGTACAGTAAAATATAACCATGTTTTATGGAAAAAAATATTAAAAACTATCTTTTAAAGTATTCTTGTTACATTTAAAAGGACTTTATGAATCATTTAAACACCATTTCATATAGGTAGTTAGTTCCTTTCTTTTTTTCCAAAGTAATTATCGTGTTATTTTTATGAAAAAACATCTTTCGGGCTGAAGTCCCTCCCCCAAAAATTAAATCCTGGATTCGCTAGTGGGCCATACCAATCTAACCCATTCACATCTCATTAGCAAACAGCCATCTCCAATAGTGATCCCCAAATGCGAGTCTTGGTCTTGCAAACTCAGTCTTGGTCATGGTCTTGGTCTTGCGCAAGAGTCTCGCAACAGTCTTGAAGTATTACTTATTATCTTATTACTACAGAGATATTACGGTAATTTTTTAGGTACGAGAAACCTAACTAATGAAAAATTAGAGGAGTTAAATGCACAAGTATATTGATTCTACCAATTATTAACATATAGTAACTAAGATTGTGAAGTATTAGTAACTATTTTGCCTTAATTTTTATTTAAAAAATCGATTTTTTTTTACCATTCCTGGTCTTGGTCTTGCAACAGTTAGGTGGCCTTGGTCTTGGTCTTGCAAAGTGCAAGACCAAGACCGATTTTGGGCAACACTTATCTTCGTGATCTTTCTATGTCTCGAATTTCATTGTTTCAAATTCATACCCTCAATATTAATTATCATCCTTAAAAATAGGAAGACACAGTGCAGTTAGAAATACATTTTCTAAAATTAAAAATAAAAATAAATAATATTAACTTTATGCGAATAATAATGACATTCGTTACGTATTCATACAAATTCGCTGTTACTGATTCAACCAAATGTTGGACAGATATGAAACCTTAAACCTAAATAAATGTCTCGAAACTACTTATTTTGCAATTATCATCCATTATGTTAATTGAACAATGTTAAATAAAATTATGGTAACATAATTATAATATATCATTTTTCTGATAGCGTATAATCTCCAGCGAGCTATTTTATGCCTCAATATTACACATGAACTGAAAGATGGCGCCACTAGTCCGTGGTACAGACCCCTTTTTATCGAATTATTAACATCCGCCTGAAATTTCGTAAATAGTTTCATCGCATCGTAACCTACAACTATTTACGAAAACTCATAGAATTGGAGCGTTTTCCATCTGGAGGGGGGCAAACTTTGTCTATTTAATTAAGTACTAAAAACTTGTAAATACACATTTTCTTTCTACTCGGATCGTAAGATAATTTGTTCACAAAATCGATAAAAAAAGGTGGCCTACAAAAATATTAGGCTGTTTGTCCTAAACCTTGTTATTTTAAAAGAGCTCAATATTTTTGGAGGCCACCTTTTTTCTCGACTTTGTGAACAAATTATCTTACGATCCAAGTAGAAAGCAAATGGGTATTTACGAGTTTTTAGTACTTAATTAAATAGACCAAGTTTGCCCTCCTCCAGATTGAAAACGCCCCAATTTCAAGAGTTTTCGTAAATAAAATATTTGTAGGTTACGATGAGATGAAACTATTTACGAAGTTTCAGGCGGATTCGATAAAAAGGGGTCTTTACTATGGACTACATAGATAGGTGCTTTTAAACCCTTTTCAGTCATATTAAAGGTTGTTGTGATTAAAGCCAGTAACATTCGTCACAAAGTTTTTATCCAAATTTTGGAGAAAAACAATTGTTCTACTTTAAAATCAAAGTATTTGAGACAGCTAAAAAAGGTATCTATAATTCGAAATATCATTATTCCACAGTAAAATTCCACATGGTTAAAAATTAACGCATACGTATTACGTCATATCAAAGCATGAAGAACTTGTCATTCTCACCTTAGAGACAGTAACATCTGTTATATTTTTTTTACATTCACATTAAGATATTTCTTTTTGTAATTGAGATATATTTATTTTATTGTCACCATTCCAATCTTTAGAAACAATACAAAAAATCAATGCCAATACTTTTTTTTTTCAAGCTGAAAAGACATGTGTAGAACGAATGTAAAACCCGGGAACATCAAATGACCTATTAATATTAGAATGACCCATATAATTTTTATTTCATTGGAAAACTTTACACCAATTTTATTTTTCATTATAGACAAGTCATATAAACGCCATAAAGGCATTTAATACTTGCTTGGGGTGAGCGAATGGATATGTCGACTACTGAAGGTTAGTGCTTTTAAGAAATTTGCAGAGCAGGTGTTTTCTTTAGTAACAAGTCAGAGACTCGACGTACGATGATCATTTTTAAAAATAATTTTTTCGTTTTTATTTGTCTATATTTTTAACTGATGATACATATGTTTTGGTAACTTTGTGCAATTTTTTCATCATTTTAAATTTAACCTTCGATATAAACCATCGAATTCCTCTCGCATCCAATCCTTACAATCCAAAATCCTTCGTAAAATCCTCAATGCTCCTTACTTTGTCACTAATAAAATAATCCATAAAGACCTCAATGTTCCATATGTTTCCGATTTGGCCAAATCCAGATACCTATCCTTCCATAATAAACTTCATAACCATCCGAATCCTCTTGTTTCTAACCTTGCTTCCTCTTCGATTCCTGATAAACCTCCGAGGCGTCTGAAAAGAAGATGGCCTCGTGATCTTCCCATGTAGACAAATTATTAGAGTGCTACCAGTGGGTAGTTTCTTAACAAGCGTGTTTCATGTAATAATATTTCTCTGTACAAATTTACTTGATCTATTCATACTAATACAGTTGTAAATATCATAATAAAAGATTAAAAAAAAAAACCTTTGATAATCTGAACAGACCAAGCAATCTATTCCAAGGTGAATATTTCTCTCTTATATATAAACAGGGCCGCTATTCCGAAACGAAAGACCGGAGGGTGATTAAATGTGTATTAAAGCACTCCTGAAGGCGATAGAAACATCATGTCAATATTTCAAAGCGATCGGTGAAGAAGTTTCAGAGATTAGCGGTTTTGAACAAACGAACATTTATGTTTTTATTAATATAGATATAATATTTTAGGACTTTCATGTTTTATTTTATTTTAGTGTTAGGATCGTAGGAGATTACAGGAGCTCTCGTATTAGCTCTTAAATTATCACTAATTATACACCTGTTCATTTAATTACACATGTTTTGAGCTCCTGTAATCTCCTAATACAAAATAGAGATATACACTCTGGTGTCTTCATTATGGTATTGAGCTCCTGCAAACTCCTACTCTCCTAATACAAATTAGAGATTTTAGACCAAAAGTTTGTACGCAAAATAGTATTCATCCGGAGGTGGGTAGTTTGATGTTATCTAGGTGACAGCAGTTTTTTTCGATCTAGACATTTTCTCCCTGAATAGAATATATTAATTATTATATTATAATAGCTGTGCCCGGCCACGTGTTGCTGTGACTAATTCTGGTTAAATAAAAAAAAATGTGAAAAAGAAATTAGATGTATCTAATATATTTTATGTAACAATACTTGTGATTATGCGATATTCTTTGTTGGTCCATTCTTAAATATTCCACGAAAAATGACTAAATGTTTAAAGCCGTCCGATTTTAGTGATTTTTTTTTATTTGCAGGGAATCAAGGAAGTTATCAAATACTGTTGGACATAATGAAACAAAAATTGTGTAATTTTTGAGTTATTTGCAAATATAGTTTTGAACCCATCGTAACTTTTTTTTCATTCTCTTTTCGGGGAAAGATGTTATATACATAAATTAAAAGGGCTTCAAGGAGAAGACTTTAGCCAAGTTTAATTAAAATCGTTACAGCCGTTTAGGCGCTGCAGTCTATAGCGACACAGGTTTTTCGGCCGCTATTCCGAAACAAAAGACCAGAGTTTGATTAAATGTATATAAAAACACTCTTGAATGCGATAGAAACATTATGTCAATATTTCAAAGCAATCGGTGAAGAAATTTCGGAGATTAGAGATTTTGAACAAACGAACATTTACGTTTTCATTAATATAGATATAATATTATATTGCGATATAATTATTTTGAAATTAAAAAGGGAGTATAATATAACGTACAATGAAAATATTAAAAATGAAAGACTCAAATTGATGTTGGGCTTATATGAAGCTGTGAACAAGTTGAATATATATTATGGTTAAAAATTGGCAATAAGAATAATTACAGTTATATAATAATATAAATTGACAATAAGGCGCAATGTATGATACAGATTTTTAAAGAAATTAAAAATTTGTACTAACTGTGGTTTCGTTCAGTTTATTTTATGTTGATAAAAAATAATACAATCTAAACTATAGAATACATGTAAATTACATTTATACAATTTGAGCAACCAAGTAGTAGTACAATTAAATGAACAGTTATATAATTTGTAAAATGGGGGTTGGTCCGTTGTTGAGCGGACAGGGGGTGGCTCCCTAGTATTTATTATTATTAATAAATATTTATTAAAATGATATTAATTTGATTTTTACTTTTTAGGTGCACTGCAGAGGTCTTCATTATTTTTTATTTAAACATGTATGTAGTTTCTAGTTAGTTAGTTTTTAGTTTTTTTAGTGCGGTTCGTGTGTGTCGTTAGTGTATACATTTGTAATAATTTAAAAGTTTATACTCAAGTGAATAAAGTTAAATTCCGCCGTGGACATTCGGTTTCTTTCGTTCCGAAATCTGCTGGGTTTAAAGACCTCGGCGGATAGTGAACTTCAAAAAAGAAGCTGTTGACAACTCCGAGATATCAGTGGTAAGTTAGTCATTTTTTTTTTATTTTCTTTCTTTTTTATTCTTATTTTTCATAGAAAATCTTATTATTCGTAACTGGCTATTATTGTTGTCTTATTATTTTTGAAAATTCCACAAATTTTCATAGTTGATTCCATTTTCACTATCAATTCTCCTGTCCTGTCATTATCAAGTCCTGGAGCTCGTAGCAAAAAGATGTCATATTTCATACTTAGGTTTTTCCTTATAAATTGACCATATCCACAGACCTGATGAGAAAAATGCTCGTTTGCAAACCGCTGGCATACGAAATGGCGGCCATATGAATATAGATGAGACCCTGTATAGGTTGTAAGCATATATATATATATATATATATATATTATATATATATATATATATATATATATATATATATATATATATATATATATATATAGAGGTCTTTTAGATATATAAAGCTACCAATCAGTGTTGCCCAAATGCGAGACCGAGACGAGTCTTGGTCTTGCAAACTCAGTCTTGGTCTAGGTCTTGGTCTTGCGCAAGACTCTCGTAATAATCTTGCAATTACCTATTAGCTTATTACTAGAGAGATATTAATGTGATTTTTTAAATATGAGAAAACTAACTAAGTCTGAATAAAAAATTAGAAGAGTTAAATGCAAAAGTATATTGGTTATGTAACAATTCTTTACATATATTAACTAAAACTGTCAAGTATTAGTAACTATTTTTCCTCAATTTTTATTCAAAAAATAGATTTTTTTTACCAGTATTGGTCTTGGTCTTGCAACAGATAGGGGGTGTTGTTCTTGGACTTGCAAAGTGCAAGACCAAGACCGATTTTGGGCAACACTACTACCAATACTTTCAATTTATAGTATTTACAATCTTAAGTCATGAAAAAATAGTCAGTTAACCTATACCCGTTGATTTAAAGTCGAAAAATTGAATTTACGATTCAAAAAGTTTATTTTTTCCGGTTTTTCACTCATATCAGTGAAACTACGCCTTCTATATATAATAATGTCATATGCGAAAATTAAGCTGAAAAAAATTCAATAGAAATGGTTATACTAATTTTGTTCGCCATATTCTCTAGTTTCCGTGATATCCGTCCCCGTAATTCGCTAATTTCGAAAAAAAAAATTGTTTCTGTAGCATTTTTATCATTATTTGAGTCGTTAACTCTTTATCTTTTCATTTTACGAAAGAGTCATGAGGAACAAAGTTGTTTAATATTAAATTTTCTTTAAGAATATATATACACACATTATAATTATATATATATATATATATATATATATATATATATATATATATATATATATATATATATATATATATTACTTAACTATCTTATCTTTCCAACCATTCAAAGGCTAGAGCAATTATAAGTTGATGATTAAACTCCGAAACTATGCAGAAAAAGTTACTTTACGCAATTTTCGATATTACACAGCTCTTAATCTGTATATAAGACAACATACATGAGTATATATACATTGGCTTACATAATATACACACACATATATATATACTATCTTATTTATATATTAAGATGAATAACGTATAATAACGAAAATTGGGGAAAGCAACACTTTCCCAATGTTTGAATTTTTCGCAGTTTTCACGTTTTTCACTGTTGTCACAATCTTTGGCATGTTCACCATTTTCACGGTTTTATCCATTAGGCCATTTTCGCGAGTTGTCTCATTACGATCGTGATTTTCGTAGTTTTTGAGATTTTCATAATCCTGTACATTTTCACAATTCCTCAAACATTATAATTAATACATTTTCACGATATTTTAAATATTTTATTAATCTGTTTTTTATATGTTTCAGATGGTGTACATATAATAAATAACAGGTATGTTAAATGTTTATTAATATTACAACGTTTAATATAATGAATTTATGCTCAAATTTAATATTTTTATCCTACAATTGTACCTATTATTGTTTTTGTGTAGCCTATTCAGTTGTTTATTTTTTAGGGTTTGTTTAAAGTATTTTTAGCACAGGGAATGGACATAAAAAAGATTCGTGTGAAATATTTTAGCAAACTGTACTTTATTTCATGGAATCTTATAAGTAAAATTCTAATGTAGTTTAGAAATTTATAAGTAAAAATTAAAAGATAGCAGGATATTGATTCCATTTTTTTTCATAAGTAATTACCTTGTATTTTCTTGGATTGTTAATACATATATTATATGAACAGATCCTGGATGATTATTGAGACTAAAGCTTAAATGGTCGATAAAGCTTGATTACTTTTACTCCTATCTGTTAATCTTCTTATAGTTTACTATAAGAGAAGTTTACATACACTATACATTTTCAAAACTTTTTAAAGTGAACAATTCTTTAGGGGCGATTTACACTTTTTTTGTGAGTAGTCAAAGAGACAAAGTCGTCAGACTCGGATGTGTAACGCTCATTCGGGTAAAGTCGGTTCGAATAGATTAATTGAAGTGTTTTTTGCATATGGATTAAAATATCTTAGAAACTAAAAATTTGACCTTCTGAGTGTAAGCGAGAGAAATTGTTTTGAATTTCATCCTATTTGTATTGAGCTATAAATCAAAATTGTATTTTAACGTGATACCGAGTTAGAGAGTCGGAAACGGAAAAAGGATAGCGCCAAAAAATCAAATATAACGACTGTTTTGTACACTTGGACTAAAATATCTCAAAATTTAAATATCATGGAGAAATCAGAAAAATTAGAAGAGTTAAATGGAAAAGTATATTGGTTTTACCAATTCTTTACATATAGTAACTAAAATTGTCAAGTATTAGTAACTATTTTGCCTCAATTTTTATTCAAAAATCGATTTTTTTACCAGTCTTGGTCTTCGTCTTGCAACAGATAGTCTGTGTCTTGCAAAGCGCAAAACCAAAACCGATTTTGGGCAACACTAATCATAAACCTATTGATCATCTCTAGAGTATGATCAATAGGTAGAGTATCAGTCAGAGCAAAATTGCTACAGTAATTTAAACACAATTATAATTGTATATATTCTAAATGTTATTACTTTGTGAATATACAAAAAAAAAATTATATATGTTGTTTATTATTTACCTCGTCGTGTTTTTATTTGTACTTCTATCGTGTAATTTTAATTCATTTTAAAATTACTTTTTTCTTTCATTCAAACCTGTCATAATAGTAATGTCGATCAGTGAATTAGATGTTCATTTCAAAATGTAATAACATGAGAGGCGTGAGGGAGAGAATTACCAGCGGCAACTCTTCCTGGTGTGATATCTACGTTAATTGTTAGACGAGAGTTCTCTCATCCAGCTTCTTTTCAACCCTCTACGGACGTCACCTGGTATATGTGATGTGGCTATGCCGTTTATGATTAAATTATGATGTCTTTTTAAGTTGTTATGGAATCGATTGTAATGGCTTCGTTAATATTCGACATATGAAGTTCAGTGTGTAAGGTTATGTTGCTAACTTACAATAGTGCTTTTGTAATTGTCCTGAATATTTTCCATTTTGTTCAAGTGAGTGTTTTTTAGCTGTTCCAAATATCTGTGATGCGTAAGTCCGTAAATATTTAATAATTGCGTAATAGGTTTTAGTAAATACTTTTATTTTTAAAATTAATTATAACTTTAATTATAAAATAGTTACCGTTGCCTCCAATTCCTCGCCCGGTTTCCCGACCGCTTGTACTGGAACCTGGACTCAGACTCTCTCATTGATCGTTGGTACTTCTTCATCTTCACCCAGGACCTTCCGGCCGTGTCGAAGACGCACCAAACGGTCAGCATCACAGTCAGTACCACCACCCAGTTGCACACGACCATACCTAACAAAATAATTATTAATTGTATATTATAGACAGATAGATAGGAAGTAAACTTTATTCTGGGACAAGGTTCCTTATGAATAACAGATATGAAAAAAATAAAAATAAAAACTACATCTGGCCAAAAATTACATTAATCAATATTAAAGAATATATACAATATCTTCAGTGAAATTAAATTAAAACAAGTAAAAATAAAATAAAATTTTGAGAAAAAACGAAATAAAAAAAACATTATTTAAATGAAAAGAAAACAAAATAAAATAAGCATGGGTTGATTTTAAAAATCAAAACTCATTCAATTTTATCAACCATTCTCCTCAGTCAAAATCTGTTTCGCGATATTTATTTTATTGTATAACGTCATTTTGGGATGTGAGAAGGAATTGGTAGAGATGATATTTAAATGAGGACAAGGAAGAGGCATGGCGGATTTCAGTAGGCAAGGAATTCCAGAAGGCAGTGGATCGGGCAATAAAGGAATATTCAAACGTCTTAGTTCTATGGGAAGGAAGGGATATAAAGGTCGGAAACACGGGATCTTGTTTTCTGGGAGTGGACCACGGATTTGAACTGTAGGAGACTGTAGATGTAGGAAGGGTGTCGGGTGTTGATCGTTTGGAACAGGAAAGATCCAAGGAAATATTATAACTCTTCGTAAAGGTGGGACACATGAGACCGCCTTGATGTACCGAAGACAAATCTTAAGGACGTATTCATGAGTCGCTTCAATCTATCTTCGAGTACCAACGGGATGCTTCTGTACACCACACAGCCGTAGTCAATGTGGGGGGGAAAATGAGAGAGGATACAAGGAGCTTGCGGATGGGTTGTGGGAGTAGGTGGCGGGAGCGATGAAATAGCTTAAGGGTACCTATTGGCTTTCGGGAGATGAGGGCGATATTGGGTTTCCATGAGAGGTTTTCGTCTATGGTGATTCCTAGGCATTTAACAAAGGAACTGAATGTGACAGGATGGTTGTTGATGACTAAAGGAGGAAGGAAGGAGATGGATTTAATAATAGAACTGGAACCTATAATAATGACCTATTATAATATATAAAGCTTTCAGTTTACAAATATATTTATTAATATATGTGTACCTCTTTCTGTCATAAATATTGTTACAAGGAAATATATACAGATTTCAACAGAAAAATTAATTTTTTCAAAAGTCTATAAGAAAATAAAGTTTATATCCGTAGAGAGTAAAAAAAAAAAATGTCCCCCTTTTGCCTTGACACAGGCATTTAATCTCCGTGGCCAGTCATCAATAGCAGCACGCAGCACTTCTTGAGGAAAGCGCTCAACTGCTCGGACCAGAGATTGTTTGAGGCTTTTCAAGTTAGGGTGTGCTCTGTGGCATGCCATCCTCTCTAGTTCGGACCAAAGCCGATAATTTAGTAGGTTGAAATTAGGGCTTCTTGAGAGCCAATCCGAGGTGATCTCTGGAATGTTCTTTGCAGCCACTGCTGAATTGACATGGCCTTGTGAACTAGAGCGGAATCCTGCTGGAAAATCAAATGACTTCGAGCAAATAGAGTATCATTTAGAGGTTTGGTAACAGGTTCTAAAATATCGTCCTGATAGTTTTTAGCGGCTATTTCAACTTCTTTATCACAAAAATGGATCTTTGTGGTGCCATCAAAGCAAACTCCCCACCAAACCATCACTGAGGAAGACCATTGGTGTAACGGCCAAGGAGCACTTTGCATCTATTTCTTTTTAGGTTAGTGGCTGGTACAACGGACAACAAAGATTGATTTAATTAAGAGAATATGGTTGGGATGACCAGTGAAAAAAAAAAAACGCTGCAAATTATTTCACAATGGTTTATTATTTCCAAACAATTATACATCTAAAGTAACATTACCTTCCGAGTTACAAAGAAAAAAACAAAACAAAAGATGATTCCAATTATTGGACTAAACTCTTTTTCTTTGATCATTAGTAATATGCTAAAAAAAAAAAATAACATCAGTTCAGTAACACATTCAAAATTTAAAAACCAAACCAAGGATATAACATTTGGAGTGGAACATATAAAAAAAAACCGGAGACCATATCTTTGCTCCTAATTGTCCGATTTTAACGATTTTTTTTTCGTTTTTTTGGAAATTTCGTAAACTTTAAAAAAACTATACAATATTAACAAAAAAGTAAAAACTTTTTGAGTTATTCAGAATTTAATTTTACCATCCCTCGTAACTTTTTTTCCAGCATCTTTTCGTTAAAGTATGTTATATAGATAAATTTAAAGGGCGTTGAGAAAATGACTTTAGGGAAGTTTCATTGAAATCAGTACATTCGTTTAGGAGGTACATTCTATAGCAACGCAGGTTTTTCGGCCGCCATTTTGAAATTAAAGGCGGAGAGTAATGTCGATGAAGGAGGATCATCCTCGGGTGACCTCTGATTTTATATCAAAATTTGAAAAAAATCGATCCAGTAGTTTCGGAGAAAATGCGCGGACGGCGGACGGACAAAAAAAATTGTATTCGTTTTTCGAATTCTACGCGTCCTGAAACGTGAAACCTTAAATTTTTAGATAGGGTTAAGTTTTTGAATTTTTTTGTCGATGACAATGGTTGATTATTGAAAATAATAAATCAAAAATGTATATTTTAAAAAATAAAGATAATTATTTATTATTATTTTTTTTCATTAAATCAATCTTTAATGTCCGTGGTAAAGACCTCTTTTTATCAAATTATTGACATCCGGCTGAAACTTCCTGAATAGCTTCATCTCATCGTAACCTACAAATATTTAATTTACAAAAATGTTCGGAATTTGAGCTTTTGCAATCTGGAGGTTGTCAAATTTTGTCTATTTAGTTAGGTACTAAAAACTTATAAATACTCATTTGCTTTTTTCTTGGATCAAAAGATAAATTGATCACAAAATCGATAAAAAAGGTGGTCTACAAAAATATTGGGTCATTATAACAAACGGCTCCATATTTTTGGAGGTGGTCACGAAGAGGTGAAACTATTTACAAAGTTTCGAGCGGCCGTTAATAATTCGATAAAAAGGGGTCTGTACCACAGGCTAAAAGTGGGTATTGAAAGTTGTAAGATGCACGCACCAGATTTTTTAAATTTCATTGGGGTTCTCTTTATCGACTTCCACCATTAGAGATCTTGCGTCCCAGTACTGTTTGGATTTTAACGATTTAAATATCTTACAGCGTTTCTTATGTCCAATAAGTCAAAGAATAAATAGAAATGTTTTGTATCCATAGTTACTCATGAATTGTACATTTTGAAGAGTGGACTGTGCCCCTCCTATTCTATGCAGATAATATGCTTTAGACTGTGTTTGTAGGTATTTATTGTAAAGTACTGTTTATAGATTTAGCCAAATTTTTGGCACTGAATTATTTAAATATCTCGGCTCCACAATTTTTTTTTTTAATAATCTATTTATTGAATAATAATACCATCAGCCACTGCTGGAGGGCTATAAGTATTAGGGCTAAAAGTTCTCATTCATACAATATATACAAATAATAAAGAAATAAATATAAATATAAAAAGTAAATAAATAATACTGATGAAGAAAGTAAATAAAAAAACAAAAAAAAAAAAAAACAAAACAAATAACATAAAATAGAAACTATACACTCGTCCAGGAATCTCCGAGCCAGGCTTTTCTCCCCATATGTAGAAGGCAAAGCAAGACTCCAGGAGATCCCAGCCGCATCACTAGTATTAGAAGCCAGTGGAGACTGAAAGAGGGCACTAGATCCACAGACGCTCAGGGCATGATTGGAGAAGCTGGCCATTGCCAGGACTCCAGAAGCATATTTACAAGAGATTTCTGGGCCACTGCCGTTTTAACCTTCGAGGAGGATTGTAGGAATGAAGGGGGCTGGATAGGGATTGAGCTGGAGGATTTGGATGATGGATAAGGTTCTGGTGAAAGTTTGAGAATCTGGATGGGATGATTTCTAGGACAAATGGGATGTTAAGGTCATGGTGTAGGGTCTTATTCGTGACATAATATGGGGCATTGACTATTTTTCTAAGTACTTTGGACTGGAAGGATTGGATGCGTTTGATATTCGAATGTTTAGAAGTTCCCCACAGTTCCACAGAACTGTGCCACAGAGCTTAGAAGTCCGTGGGTTCCACAATAACCTCACTGAATGACCAACGGTCATAAATAGACCACTGTATAATTATCGCAAATATAGCTTTCTTCTCCCTTTAAAAGGCATTAAAATCTCGAAAAATCTCAAATAAAGGGTGTAAAATGCTATGATAAAGCCAGTTCTGATTTATGGCTGTGAGACCTGGGCACTAATCAGCACCTTAGAAGAAAGTATTGAAAGATCTGGGATCAGAGTACTAACACATAGAGATGAAAGGTCAATAAAGAACTGCTTACTCAAACTGGTCAATCAATATCCCACGATATGAAGGCATGAAGGTTAAGATGGGCGAGGCATGTAGGTATATCTACATTACAATGAATGCCTCCATAGAAGGCAAAAGACCACTTGGAAGGCCAAAAAGCAAATAGAAAGAACCAACAAAGACGTAATAGAGCTGCGTGGAGATAACTGGAAAGAAATAGCCCAAGATGGAGAGAGATGGAGTTGGCTTGTTAAGGCGGCAAAAGATCTGCAAGGTCTGTAATGCAACCAGAAAAAAAAAATAGGCATATAAAAATAGGCTTCCCTTACAAATTTCTATGTATATTCCCGATGATTCCTTATTTAATTAATATTATATAAAATTCGTAAGTAAATTTGCAAGTAGTTGATCCTGTGTGGAGTACCTTATGAAGATAAATTTTTTGCCACAACAATTATTTGTAAAAAAAAAATCATTTCTTATTCTTCTTCACACCGTCCGCTCTCCTTCCACTCCAATGCTCTTTCATCCTCCTGGACTGGTCCTCTCGCTCTTCCTTGGTCCATTAACTCCCTCTTCCCCACAAGAACCCCAACCTCTTTTAGTTTTTTCCCAAAAACCTCTCTATCTAAGCAGTCCA